GACCTTTGTGTAAGCTCCACTCCCGCCCTGATACCCCCCTTGAGGTTTCAGGAAGAATGTGCATGCGGACGTGACTGTACCCACTCTGTGATCACCCTGTGATCAGGCCATGAAATTGTATGGGAATTGTAATCTTATGGCTTTTGTGGGTTTTTCCTTTAAAAACACCCATGTGGCTACAGTAAGATGTGACTCTTGCTCTTGGGAGCAGAGGAGCCCTTCTATATAGAAGCTTAATAAATCCTTGTGCTGTTGCATCAACTGGACTGGAGTCTGGGTTCTTGGGGCGCCCACTTGAGACCCTAACCTTTGGGGTCTAGCAGTAGCCAGTATAGTCAAAATAAGAATTTTGATTTCTGAACCTTGGAGTTTTAGTCAGGTATAACAAAGTGACCAAATATGGGAATAGACCCCAGGGGCTAGCTTTAGGAATGTAATCTAATGGTTTAGCAGGGCATGTGGGGGCGGGGGGGGGTGGGGTGGGGAGTGCCAAGCCTGCTGACCCATGTTAGCCGCACTGGGGCTTGTTAGAGAGCCCTTCACCAGTGAGCTGAGCCATCTCAAAACAAAACACTGCAGGACTGGGGAGACGGCTCATTAAAGACACCTGCCAAGCTTGACGACTTGAATTTCATCCCTAGAGCCTTCCTTCATGGTAGAAGGAGAGAACTAACTCCCACAAGTTCTTTTCTGACTTAGACACACACACACACAAATAAATAAATAGTAAAATTAAAACAACAGTAGCAACACCAAAAAACTCACAATAAATAACACAAGGGGCTGGAGAGGTGGCTCAGTGGCTGAGAGCACTGGCTGCTCTTCCAGAGGACCCAGGTTCAATTCCCAGCACCCACATGATGGCTGACAACTCTCTGTAACCCCAGTTTCAGGGAGTCCGACAGCCTCACACAGACATTCATGTAGGCAAAACACCAATGCACATAAAATAAAAATAAATAATTAAAAAATAAATAAATGAATAAACCAAAACAATTAGAAACTGAAGCAGGAATCTTAAAAGGTCTTATTAATAAAAAAAAAACCCAGAGCCAGGTATTGGGGTGAATGCTGAATGATCAGGGAGTCAGAACAGGCCACAGCTAACCTCACCTTGCCAACTTCTCAGCTGATCCTGTTTCCTCAGACTGGTAAGCCTCTGAGTCCAAATAGATCTCAGCTGAACTGCTGCTAAAAGCCTAAAAGTTTCACCAGCCAAAAGCTTCTAGTGCCTGGTCTTCAAGCCTTATATACCTTTCTGCTCCCTGCCATCACTTCCTGAGATTAAAGGTATGAGTCACCATGCCTGGCTGTTTCCAGTGTGGCCTTGAACTGAGCGAGATCCAGGCGGATCTCTGCCTCTGGAATGCTAGGATTAAAGGCATGTGTGCCACCATTTTCTGGCCTCTATGTCTAGTGGCTGTTTTGTTCTCTGACCCCAGATAAGTTTATTAGGGTGCACAATATTTTGGGGAACATAATATCACCACAAGAAACAACAAAATCAATGCTTAGATTCTTTTCTTTCTTTTGTTTTTTGTTTGTTTGTTTGTTTTTTGAGACAGAGTTTCTCTGTGTAGCTTTGGAGCCTGTCCTGGAACTCACTCTGTAGACCAGGCTGGCCTCGAACTCACAGAGATCCGCCTAGCTCTGCCTCCCGAGTGCTGACAACAAAGGTGTGTGCCACCGCCGCCGCCCGGCTAACACGTAGATTCTTGTTGGACTCCATTCTATTGCTTTTCTTCATTGTCCTAGTCCCCTTCCTCTCTGACACTGACTTTATTTGGTCACCTTCTCTCAGGCAGCCCTGCAGTGTACCTTACTATCACTGTCTAGGACACTGAGAAGCTGAGCTGAGGATGCAGCTCAGTCAGCAGGGTGCTTGCCTAGCAAGCATTTGAGGTCTGTTCCCTTGCACCAGGAAAATCAAGCATGGTGGTGCTTGGTACCCTAGCACTGGGGAGGCGGAGCAGGAGGACCAGTAGTTCAAGGTCATCATCAGCTGCAGAGTGAGTCCAAGGTCATCCTGGACTTGATGAAACCCTGTTTTTCTTTTTTCCAGACTAAAAAATAGCTGGGCGGTGGTAGTGCACACCTTTGATCCCAACACTCGAGAAGCAGAAGTAGGTGGATCTCTGTGAGTTCAAGGCCAGCCTGGCCTACAGAGCCAGTTCCGGGACAGCCAGGACTGCACAGAGGAACCCTGTTTTGAAAAACAAACAAACAAACAAACAAAGTTTATCCCAGTACCTGGGAGGGAGAAGCAGGTGGACCTCTGTGAGTTTGAGGATAATGTGGTCTACATAGTGAGTTCCAGGCTAGCCAGGCCACATAGCAAGACGGTTTCAAAACAAACAAAGAATTGTGGCCAAAAGCACTTTTGGGTAAATCCAGTCTTTAGCCCAAAGTGTAAAGAAAATATAGAGCAGCAGGCTGGAAAGATGGCTCAGTGGATAAGAGCACTGGCTGCTCTTCCAGAGGACCTGGGTTCAAGTCCCAGCACCCATATGGCAGCTCACAACTGTCTGTAACCTCAGTTCCAGGGGATCTGACACCTTCACACTAATGTACATAAAATAAATAATAAAAAAAGAAATACAGAGCAAAGAAGAGGAAGGAAAAAAAAGGATGTTATTGGCCATAACTAGTTTCTTGGGGCTGGAGAGATGGCTCAGCAGTTAACCTCGCTGGCTGCTCTTACCTAGGACCAGGCTCGATTCCCAGCACCCACAGATTAACTCACAACTACCTGAAACTTCAGTTTCAGGAAATCCAACACCCTCTTCTGCCCTCTGAGGACACTAACCTGGGCTCTGAGTTTAGCACAGACTCCAAACTTTCCGACCCTTGATAAACCTTGCCCGGAAGGTGCAAACCCAGTCTAGTGGTTCTGCATTATAGCACCTGGCGTGGTGTGTAGGCAGACACTGTCAATTAACGTCTGAATTCCAAGTTGAATCCCTGTGCCCAGCCGGCTTTCATTTTTCTCATCACATCTTTTCTTCACAGAACAATTTTCTTAATTCTGCCCCTTTGCCAGCTGCTTCCTCTCCTGAAGAGGAGCTGAGAGCCAGCCAGCCGCCGTCTTGCAGGTGAATACGATCAATTATTAAAGAGGCTAGATGCCTGACTGCCTGTCGTACACAAGTATGGTTTTGGAGCGCTCCGCACAAAGGCATGAAAGAACTTAAAAGGAGTGAAAAAATGCTTTTCAAATCCTTGATTGCAGACAGAGTTCAACACAATTCAGTGAACTTGGCCTGAAGGATATGGCTTGGAAAGTACCCAAGCTGCCACCTGGTTCCAGATTCCAGTCTGCCCTGGGTGAGTGGCGCTGCCCACCAGGGCTCCCATGGGTGTTGGTGAGTAGCGGGATGGAAACTCTGGCCCCTGAGGCTCACTGAGTGATTTGATTTCACATTTAGTGTTGCTTTGATAGGCCAGGGTTGCAGAGGCCAGAGCAAAGCTCCAAAGGGCAGGCACAGGGGCTGATGCAGTGGAGGGGCACGCATCTGGACTGCCGCCTCGTGAGGACATGGCTTTGCACAGGACTAGCTGGATTTCACAGACTGGGGGTGATGGGACTGTATGTTGGATTCAGCTGAGGTCTGTGCCCCGAGCTCTAGAGTCTGCTTAGGGGAAGGCAGGCTGGCGGGGAATGGCTCCAATACCCCTGGCGTTAGGGTTCATTAAGGCAGTATAGTTGGATGAGTTTAGGAAAGGTCAGAGGACAACTTCCAGGGGTCGCCTCTCTCTCTTTACTACGTGGGTGGTGGGGACTGGACTCCAGTCAACAGGCTTGGTAACTAATGCTGTTACCCATCGAGCCTCGTCAGTGGCCCGGGTTAAGATAATCTTAAATGTGTGCTCTTTGATAAACTAACGCTCCATCAAATACACGGTAGTTAACAGAAAGCAGGAGGTGAGCAGTTTGGAAGGATAAAATGTACCGAACGAGCTGAGCTGGGCACCTGTTGAAGGGGTCAGGTTCTGGCAAGGAACTGGATAGGGTGGGGGTGGTTGAAAATAGACAGTTTAATAAAAAAGAGAAAGGACTTAGAGATTGGGGTGGCTAGTGAGCCTAGGGAAAAGTGGGTGCTGAAAAGCACTATGCTGGGGCTGGAGAGACGGCTTAGCAGGTAAGAGCATTGGCTGCTCTTGCAGAGGACCTGAGTTTGGTTTCCAGCACCTACACGGAGGCTCACAACTATCTGTAACTCCAGTTCCAGGGATCTGATGCCCTTGTCCGGCCTTTGTGGGCCCCAGGCAAACACATGGCACACAGACATACATGCAGGCAAAACACTCATACACAGGAAAATAAATCTTTTAAAATTATATATGTATATAATTATATATACATATATAATTTTAAAAGATCACACTGAGGGGCTAGAGAGGCGGCTTAGATGAGATCTCTGCTTGCTCTTTCAAAGGACCCAAGTGTCCTTCTCAGTACCACACTGGCTGTCTCACGGTTGCCCGTAACTCCAACTCCAGGAAATCTGAAGCCTTCTGGTCTCCATGGCCACCTGCACTCATGTGCACATACATAATTAAAAACAATAAATAGCCGGGCGGTGGTGGCGCACGCCTTTAATCCCAGCACTCGGGAGGCAGAGCCAGGCGGATCTCTGTGAGTTCGAGGCCAGCCTGGGCTACCAAGTGAGTTCCAGGAAAAAAGGCGCAAAGCTACACAGAGAAACCCTGTCTCGGGAAAAAAAAAAAAAAAAAAAAAAAAAAACCAAAAAAAAAACAATAAATAATATTATGTATTATCACATTTGGGGGAAAAAAACCAAAGTAATCAATCCTTAATAAAAAAAAAATTATGAGGCCATAGCTGGGTGGTGGTGGTTCATGGCTTTAATTCCAGCATGGGAGGCAGAGGCAGGCGGATCTCTGTGAGTTGGAGACCAGCCTGGTCTACAAAGTGAGTTCCAGGACAGCCAGGTGTAGATGTAACCAACCATGTTATTAAATAAGAAACACAGAGCCGATTCAGAGAAGAAAGCCAAGAGGTCAGAGCTAAGAGCCTCACCCTTCCTGCTTCAGCCAAGAGAGCTCTCCGAAAGGGACCTACTTCCTGTGTGTATGTCTTTATATAGTCTAGCTGTTCTGCCTTCTCATTGGTTGTAAACCCAAACACGTGACTGCCTCGTCACTGCCTGTATGTACCGCCCTCCAGGTCCTTAAAGGCGTGCGCCACCGCCGCCACGCACTTGCTATGGCTCTAATAGCTCTGACCCCCCAGGCAACTTTATTTATTAACATACAATTAAAATCACATTTCAGTACAAGTAAAATACCACCACAGCCAGGGCTACATAATAGAGAGATCCTGTTTCTTCAGTATGACCCCCTGAAAACAGCAATTACTTTCAGTACAGGAAGCCTGGCACTAGCTAATCCTGTCCAGATGTGGAGGTCCATGCAACTTTAAGGAAAGAAGAGCCTGAAATTGTTCTAACAAATGAGGACTTGCTAAATAGACGTGAGTTTGAACCTGTACAAGTGTGTCATGAGTGACAAGTCACTGCTGTTTGTGTTACATGGGCAGTCTAGCCAAGGGCCAGTGTGTTGGGCCAGTACAGTGGGAAAGGCCAAAGGCTTGGAGGCTGGTTCACATGGCTGGCCAGAAGCTCAGAGTCCCAGAAGGTTCTTTCTTCAACTACTGTGGCTCAGGAGCTCGAATTCCTGATGAATGTTCTGCTGTGGCCTGCCACATGCATGTCCTCTCTGTTTCTCTTTCCTGTCCTGAGTTTCTTTTTCTTTCTTATTTTTTTAAAAAAATATTTATTTATTTATTTATTTATTTGTGTGTGTGTGTGTGTGTGTGTGTGAATGTCCCATGTGCAGGTGCCGGAATTCTTAACCACTGAGTTGCCCTTCCTGTGCCATTTTTTTTTTTTTTTTTTTTGGTTTTTTTTCGAGACAGGGTTTCTCTGTGTAGCTTTGCGCCTTTTCCTGGAACTCACTTGGTAGCCCAGGCTGGCCTCGAACTCACAGAGATCCTCCTGGCTCTGCCTCCCAAGTGCTGGGATTAAAGGCGTGCGCCACCACCGCCCGGCTCCTGTGCCATTTTTTTAAAATTGCCTTTACATTTCTTTTTAGGGGTGTGTGTGTGTGTATACACGTGTGTGTGTGTGTGTGTGTGTGTGTGTGTGAGGTGCATGCGTGTGTGTGTGTGTGTATACACGTGTGTGTGTATACACGTGTGTGTGTGTATACACGTGTGTGTGTGTGTATACACACGTGTGTGTGTGTGTGTGTGTGTGTGTGTGCGTGCGTGTGGGGAGGGCACATTCAGCAGTTATGTGGTGGGGAGTCAGAGGACAACTAATAGGAATCAGTTCTCTCCTTCCACCATGTGGATCACAGGGCCTGAACTCAGGCTTGGTGGCGGGCATCTTTACTTGGTTGAACCACCCTCTTGCCCCTTTTTCTTATTATTACCGACACAGGGTCTTTCTATTTAGCTCTGGCTAACTGGAACTCACTATGTAGACCGCTCTGGCCTCAAACTCAGCGATCCTCCACTATTGCCTCCTACATGCTGGTATTAAAGGTCTGTGCCACCATAATCAGCCTCCTTTTTTTTTTTTTAAAGATTATTTTAGCGGGGTGATGGTGATCCATGCCTTTAATCCCAGCACTTGGGAGGCAGAGACAGGCAAATCTTTGTGAGTTTGAGGCCAGCCTGGTCTACAGAGCTAGTTTTAGGACAGACAAGGCTACACAGAGAAACTGTCTTGAAAAACCAAAAACCAAAACACAAAAACAAGAACCCCAAATATTACTTTACCTATTTTTCTGTGTGCACACATGCGCGCACGCACTCAAGTCCACGCATGAGCACGTATACTCACACCTTCATGTGCACATGGAGGCCAGAAGAGAGCATCGAGTGTCCGCTATCATTTTCCCTTTTCCTTTGAGGCAGGGTCTCTTTCTGAACCAAGAGCTAAGGGGAAGACAGCAAGCCCCAGAAACCCTCCTGTCTCCACCCCCATCAGAACTGAGGTGACAGGTATTTGTGGGGGCACCCAGCTTGTGACCCAGACAGACAATGGGATCCAAACTTCCATCCTCATGATTGTGGAGCAAGTTGCTCTGTGTCTCACTCAGACCTAACAAGATGAAAGTAAAGGGAGGAAGGGTCTACTCTGCCCAGTCTGGGGATACAGTCCGTTATGGTGAGGTCACAGCAGCAGGATACTGCTGTGGGATGGTCTGTATGTCAAGTGTGTTGCTGATTGGTCAATAAATAAATCACTGATTGGCCAGTGGCCAGGCAGGAAGTATAGGTGGGACAAGGAGGAGAATAAAGCTGGGAAGTGGAAGGCTGAGTCAGAGACACTGCCAGCCGCCACAATGACAAACAGCATGTGAAGATGCCGGTAAGCCACGAGCCATGCAAGGTATAGATTAATGGAAATGGATTAATTTAAGCTATAAGAACAGTTAGCAAGAAGCCTGCCACGGCCATACAGTTTATAACCAATATAAGTCTCTGTGTTTACTTGGTTGGGTCTGAGTGGCCGTGGGACTGGCAGGTGAGAGAGATTTGTCCTGACTGTGGGCCAGGCAGGAAAACTCTAGCTACAGGATATGGTGCAGCTGGCCACACTGTGTCCACAAGGGACGCAGGTCCATTATGGTGAGGAGGTCACAGCAGTGGGGGTGTGGTGCACAGTGTATCCATGGTCAGGAAGCAGAGGATAAACGCCTGTGTTCAAGCCACTTTCCCTTTGTTACCCAGTCAGGAGCCCAGCCCAGGGAACCATGCTGCCCACATTCAGCATGGCCTCCTCCTTCAGTTAAACCTCTCTGCAAACGCCCTCCCAGACATGACTAGGTGTGTCCCCTAGGGGATTCTACATCTTGCCAATGTGACAACCAGTGGTGTCACACCTGCCTTATGCTTCTCAGTGGCCCCAATGGTATTGATTTTTCTTCTTCTTGACATTTGTGAGTTAATAGGATTTTCTTCTTGGTTTCAGATCACAGGGTGGAGTGAATCTTCTGTGTTAAGTCTTACCAACGGCACCAGGAATGTTTAAGAATGGCTTCTGAGTCTGCAGATGCTTTTAGTGTGTGTGTGTGTGTGTGTGTATACATGCACCACGTGAGTGTGATGCCCATGGAGACAAGAAGAGAAGGTTCCTATCCCCTGGAGCTGGAGTTACAGGAGGTTGTGAGCGGCCTAACGTGGGCTGTGGGAACTGAAGTCCTCTTTAGGAGCAGCAAGCACTCCTAACTGCTGAGCCATCTCTCCAGGCATCTGACTTACATGCGCGTGCATAGACACACACACACACACACACACACACACACACACACACACACACTAAAAATAAAATCTTGGCTGGGTGTGGTAGCACACCCTTTAATCCCAGCACTCAGGAAGCAAGCAGAGGCAGGTGGATCTCTGTGAGTTCTAGGACAGCTAGGGCTACACAGTGAGGCCATCTCAAAAAAAAAAAAAAAAAAAAAAGATGCACCAAACTTGCTGGGTGGTGGCGCATGCCTTTGATCCCAGCACTGGGGGGGTAGAGGCAGGCGGATCTCTGTAAGTTGGAGGCCAGCCTGGTCTACAAAGTGAGTTCCAGGACAGCCAGGACTGTTTCACAGAGAAACCCTGCCTTGAAAAAACAAAACAAAAAAAACCCAAATAATAATAATTTTAAAAAAAATTTTGGTTTTTCGAGACAGGGTTTCTCTGTGTAGCCCTGGCTGTCCTGGAACTCACTCTGTAGACCAGGCTGGCCTTGAACTCATAGAGGTCTGCTTGCTTCTACCTCCTGAATGCTGGGATTAAAGGCTCGTGGCACCATGCCTGGCTAAAATAAATCTTTAAAAAGTCAATTCTGCTCTCCATAGTTTGAGTTATGTCTTTATGGTGATTTCGTTTTATTTTAGCAAATAAAAGTTGGTTTTAAGAGCGTTCCCACTTCCTGTCCTCAGCATACCTTCGATTCAGTTTGCTCTGGCAAAGTGGGGTGACAAACAGTAGGACTGGTGGGCACGAAGGAGCTGCTGTGGTCCATCCCCATCATCACTGAGTGGTCCTACCCTGGCACTCAGGCATTATTTTAGGGGACACTGGAACATTTTCCTGAAGTTTTCTGGTAGCTTCTCATTTTCTAAAGGCCTTTGAGTCTCACCAAAGGTACAGATCACACTGTCGTTTGGGGGGTGGGTTGGAGGAGAAGGGTTTCTGGTGCTGGGGATGAAACTCAGGGGCCTTGAACTTGCTAAGCACACGCTCCGCCCCAGGTCCTGTTGTGTGTGTTATTTCTCCTGTCTACAGTGTCCAGCATCGTTCTCTGTGTGCCACACTTGCGCACGGCGTGACTGTGCTGAAGGTGAGCTTCGGCAGTGGTAACTACTCTATCAGCTGACCCCACTCTTCTGCCCCAGGGTAACAGCTGAGCCTTTCAATCAGACTTGTGGCTGCCACCCCAGTGACTTCCAGAAATGCCCCTGGGGCAGAATAAAGAGTATAGTGTTGCTAGATAACACCCATCTCCCCTGTGGTACCCTGTATTCCATCTACACAGTATGCTTAGGGTCCCAGCATCAAGCCCTCGTCAGCAATCCTGGACTACCTGCCCTGGGTCTACAGAACACGACACAGGTGGCCCCTCACCAGTGAGCTGAAGCCAGAGGGGTCAGGGGTTTCCTCCTCCGAAGAAAACAATGTCGATTCCTCGAACATGATATAAAAATTGCAGAGGCCAAGCGAATCCTTATATAACACACATCTCTATCTGCTTTTACAAGATAGTCCTTCAAAAGTCTGGGAATCACAACTGCCTGGACCAAGTCCCTCAGGGTCATCAGGATGTCCTGGGTCACGTCTTGCTGGGCGACAGGCCTACATGTCATAGAGTCGGAGCTGCTCCTGCATGTCACCATCAGACATCTCACCAAACGTCTCCTTGTTGTCCTTCATGAGCTTGAAGATGGCGGCCAGCTGTTCTTTCTGAACTCTGTTGAAAAGAGAGGATGAGAGGAAAAGGATGCTCCCGACCGAGGGGGGTGAGGGTGGGGGTGGTACCTGTGCCATCGGCCAGGTGGGGACTCTCCACTTTTCTAACGACGTTTGCTTTCCAGTGTAAGACCCACTTAAAATGCAGGAGGTGGTTTGCACTACCACTCAGCCCTGAAATCCTGGGTCTCAGGTTCACTATGACTCAGTTTCCTCATGGGCCTGTAGTGATTTGCATCTCACAGTGAGGCAAGGAGGAAGAGAGGCCTGCTTTATTAAGTGGCTTGGTGTACTGAGAATAGGGGATCAGGAGCAGCCTCAGTTTAGACGGTGAACCAGAAGCAAGGGAAATGGGGCATATAGATGTGTAGGCCAAAGTGCTGGGCAATGGGGAGAGGAGGTTGAAATCTAGCCCCTGGAGTTCTGCTGCCAAGAGAAAGAGGCACCTTTTCCTTATGTACACAAAGTGGGTGTGGATGCAGATGGACCTCGGTGTTGACCACATGGTTCTGTGGCTGTCTCGTGGTTTTTACAAGACTCCGCCACACCATCTGACCAGCGCAGAATGACTCCCATGGCAAATACGAAGGGTGGCCCGTGTGTGGTTCTGTTTGCTCCACTGCACTGCCCTGTGCGTGACAGCTGGCCCCTGCATCCTGCCTCCACCTTGCTATCCTGAGTTCCTGATTCTGTTGTTTCCTGTACCATTTCCTCCACGGCACACTACTGCTTTGGGGTCCGGAGAGAAGGTGAACCACACCTGCAGGCTCAGATCTCGGCCTTCCCCAGGACCATGTCTGCTGTAGCCATGCTGTAGGTCTGAGCAGGCTTCAGCAAAGCTGTCGGCCACTGGACCGCCTGGAGAGGTGGTCCCGATGTGTTAGGTCTTAGGCTTTTTCTTTTTCCTTCCTTTTGTCTTTGATACAGTCCTCACTTTGTGGTTCTGGCTGGCCAGGAACTCAATCTGTAGCCCAGGCTGGCCTCGAACTCACAGAGATCCTCCTGCCTCAGCCTCCTGAGTGCTGGGATTAAAGATGTGCACTAGCATGCCAGGCTAGGACTTGTACTTTTTTTTTGTTGTTGTTTTCAAGACAGGGTTTCTCTGTGTAGTTTTGGTGCCTTTCCTGGAACTTGCTTTGTAGCCCAGGCTAGCCTCGAACTCACAGAGATCCGCCTGACTCTGCCTCCCGAGTGCTGGGATCAAAGGCGTGCGCCACCACTGCCCGGCGGACTTGTGCTTTTAATGACATTCCTTCTACTGTAAGTTCTACCCCCCCACCCCCACATCTTCCACTCGACGAAGGGTTTTCTGTCTCCTGTAGCATCTAGATGTTGGAGTACTGCTGCCCCAATTCCTACCCTCCTCGGTCTAGACAAGCTAGGTCTATACTCAGTTCTGTGTAAGAGGAAGAGGGACATGCAGGGTGTATTTTGTACCCCACTATGTGAAGAAAAGAGGTATGGTAAACAGAGGGGGGTTACTGAAAGCATGGATGAAATCACTGTCAGATATGTTTAGCACTGTCTCTTAATGAACTCTCCATGTTTTGGTGGCCATGATGATTGTACATTTATTATAATTATTATTACTATTATTTTTAGGATTCGGGGGGGGGGGGTGCCGTGTTGAGATGGTCTCACTATATAGACTTTGCTAGCCTAGAATTCACTTTGTAAACTCTGCCTCTGGGTACTGGGATCACAGCTGTACACCACCACCACCACCACCACCCCATACCCGCAGTGCTGTAGTATATACTTATTTATTTTTATATGTTCGGGAGTTTCATCTACATATATGTATGTGTACCATATGTTTGTCTCATGCCCTTAGGGGTCAGAATAGAGAACTGGATCCCCTGGAACTAGATTTATGGATGGTTGTGAACTACCATCTGGGTGCTGGGAACAGAACCCATATCTTCTGCAACAGCAAGTGTTCTTAGGCAAACACCCATCTCTCCAGCCCTGGGCTGTGAATTTGTAACTGGGTATGCATATGGCTTTGTGTTCTGCTGGAGCATCAAAATGAGAGGAAGTTTAAAGTTTGTTTCTAAAGAGATTTTTGTTGTTTTTAAATAAAGCAAACTGAAGAAACACACAGTAACCAAGGTCCTCTACTTAACTTTTTATTGGCCAGAACACAGGCTGTACACATCGAGCCAAGCCGCCAGGAGTGTGAGGGGCTTGTTGCTCACAAGCCACGCTCAGGTTTCCACATAAGCCTAACTAACAATATCCAGCAGTCACTCCTCTGTGTGGAGGAAGCCCCAGCCTGGACAGAGACTTCACTATTGCTGTTTAGGAACAAGTGAGCGTGACTGTGGTCACGTGGCTCTGTGTCAAAGGCATTGAGTCGCGTTTGCTGCTCTGTTGCCGGCTCAGTCCTAAGCCTCGAACCCAAGTCATTAGACACGGGAGAAGGCCGCCAGGGGTGTGCGCGGCTTAGGAGTCGATGCTGGACATTTTTCTAGTTTTCTATTAAATGGAAAATCTTCTAAAAACTTAGTGCTTTAGGAAAAAAAAGTCTTCACCAACAAGTCTAAGACTTCAGAAATACTGTCAAATATAAAATTCTGAAAAAACTAACCTGGGACTGTTGGGTGATTATGAGGTTCAAAGTCATCTAGGAAAAACCTAGAAAATACACAATCCAGAAATCTGCTGGAAGCTAACACTGCTGTTGTAAGCCAGAGTGGAGACTAAGTTGAGCTGGTGAGGACACTAGTGGAGAGGCCTCTCAGTACTAAGAGGGGTGGCCCGAGACTCCTGGGGTGGGGTGGGGGGCAAAAAGGAGGCCATGTTAAAGCCAGTACCTGGCATGAATCATTCCTGCCAGAGAGAAGGAGGAAAGCCCCGCCCCCGGGGTGTGTGTGTGTGACCACCTCTGACAGCAGGTGAGCCCTAGTGGGCTTTACTTCATTCGTCTCAAATCTGGTGGTTTGGCTTCTGTGAGAACAAAAGCACAGGGCAGTTGTGTGGACCGGGTGTGGGGGCATAAGTGGGGGTGGGTAGGAGCAAGTATGGCTGCTAAGAAAAGCCCAGGGCCTGAGCCCATATTCTTGGCAAGTCCCCCCTTCTCCCAATAAACACCTCTGAGCAGGACAGAGACAAAACCAGTCCTGAAGATCTTGCTAGTCCAGGAGAGCCCAGCGTGAGTTGGGGTGGGCCAACATGTCAGCAGACTTGCCGGCAAACTCCCCCGCCCCAAGCCTGCATGGGTTCCTCCCCCTTTTTTTTTAAATCAAGCTTTTAAGATGTCAAAAGGAAAGAAAGCCTTCAGGAGGCGGCTAAGAAGGACACCTTCTTTATTCTTCAGTTCTGTAAAGAGAAATGGGGAGAAAGAGATCATGTATCTTGCTCAGTTTACTTCAGAAGCAGCACAGGACAGAGTGGGCACAGAAGGCAGATGGTTGGAATCACAGAGGCCATGCTAGACTGCTGCTTTCTCAGACCAGCGGTTTGCTCCTCACACTCTGCAGTGATACAGGCTCCGTGGGTCTGTCTGTCCCCCACCCCCCTCCCCCAGCCAGGTGACGACCGCCACCTGCCACGTCCAGCTTCTGAGAAAGAGTGGCCGGGCAGTGAGCTTGCTGATCCTTGGCTGTGTGGTTGGTTACACTAATGACATAGATATTGCCCTGGGTAATTTTTGCTTCCTGCTGCCTGGTCTTTGTCTCCTGTGAGGGGACTCTCTGTACCTTCCCCGGCAGGTTTCCAGAAGGGCCAAAAAAAAAAAAAGAGTCTTGATTGCTCTCTGAAGGTGAGTGATCTTATTTTTTTTTTTGCCTTTGGCGCCCTCTCCTGGAAGCTGGAGTTAATGCATACTTCTAGCCATTAAATTTCACTCAGGAAGAGCCAGAACTATAGGAAGGTCTGGGTCCTCCCTTACTGCCCTAATTGCCCTATGTAACCCTCTTCTCGGGCCCTGTCTATTTCCATGAGTCAAAAGCTGGCACTCCTTCAGACTGCCAGCCACAGCAGTGCGGGCCCCGGCCTGACCTGTCCACACAGCCTAGTGTACAAGCTGGGCTCCACTTTCCCTCTGGAACCAGTAGATGGGATATCCTGCCAAGCTGCAAAGCCCGGTTCACTAGCTTGTGGAGTGAAAGGGCCTCTTGCTTAGGGGGAGCTGTCAAAAGCCTGCTAGCCAATGATTCCCACTCACACAGAGGGAGGCAGCACCCCCAAGAGAGGCTTAGGAGGAAGGAAGGGACAGAGCCGATGTGGGGAGCAGGGGAGGGAGTGCGTGTCTGCTCAGAGGGAACTCAGAAAGGTTAGCGTGCACAGCAGCCAGACTAGAGCAGTTGCTGCCTAGCCACCTCCCAGGAGCTGGACAGCTTTGTCTGGAGCAGATCCAAGGGCAGGCATTCCCAATGGAGGTCAGAGGAGAACGCACTGGGACCTCTCGATCCCGTACTGACACTCCCAGGACCTTGAGCGAGCCTGGGGAGAGCAGAGCAGGAAGCGCTGCAGAGCTGGGTTCCAGGTGCAGCTATGGTGGCCCAGCTGGTCATTCAAGATGAGAGGCAACATTTACCTGTTAACCAGGTGCTCCCTGTGTGCCAGCCTCGGATCGGGCAAAGGCCGTCTGGGAGGGACGGAGCTGACGGGTACTTTGCCAGCTTGAGGATGGTTTCATTAGTTTCATGGTAACATTATGGGTTTTATTATTATTATTATTATTATTATTATTATTACATTCTTATTTGTTTTGCGTGGACCTGTGTGTACATTGTGGATGTGCACATTGGAGGTCAGGGGACAAGGAGTTGGTTCTCACTTTTCACCACTCAGGCCGTTAGGTTTGGCAGCAGGCATCTCCCCGGTCCTACATTTGTGGTATTTTTCAGGGAACAGTTCTAGGGCAGTTCCCCAAACTCAGTTGGGTCCCGATCTGTGTTGCAACTATCACCTCTCCAAAACCCAGAGACAGAAAGGCGAAGCCAAACTGAACAGCCTCTGCAACCCCAAGCATCACACGAGACGCAGTGGTGTGGTCAGGGGCGCCCCCAGCAGCTTCAGCTGCGGCCACATGCAGGGGTAGGAGGGGAAGCAGGCAGATGTCAGATGGGGAGGGCGTGTGAGAGCCGCAGGAAGCATGCTGGGTAGGGTCATGGAATGAACATAAACTCAGGCCCTGCTGGGACCTCCCTGTGCAGAGGAGGAGTCAGGGACTCCCCCCTCACCCAAGAGCAGCTCCTCTGCACAATCTCTAGCCCACAGAACAGCAAGCATCCGGGTGCTCTGGGGTCCCCTGGAGGCAAAGGCCCTCAGGCAGTGGGGGATCTGCTGTCTTTGAAAATGACACAGAAGTGACTTCGCCTTTTCATTTCCTGGCCTCAGCTCTGAACACAGGGGCAGTGGCAGACCCCAAACTGAGGCCTGGCTGTCACCCACTAACTGTGAACACAAGGGACAGTGGCAGATCTCAAACTTGAGCCCTAACTGCTCTCCTACTCTGACCACCCCTCAAGGCCCACAGTGCATCGACCTGAGTGGATAGAATGAGGCTATGGGCAGCCAAAGCCCCACCCCCAGGAATGCCTGGGATGGCTGGGGTGGTGGTGGTGGGGTGGCGGTCAGGCCCTCACGCCTCTCCAGCCAGGGCTGAACCCTCGAAGGATCTGTGGCAACACCTCAGTTCCGCCACAGGAGTTCCAAAATAGCCTCGGAAAAATGAGTGAATGTGACCATGTCTGTCCTCTGCATTGACATCAGCAGGGAGTGGGCCACAAGCGGCCAAGGCCTCAGCCTGCAGGCCCAGCTCTGAAGATCAACAGTCCTGCCTGCCCTGCAGCATGGAGGGATTACAGGCCCTCTCAGGGTTCTGTCATGTACTGTGCAACCAGCTGTCTCTCCTCTGGGTGAGACAAAGCCACAATGGCCACCTCACAAGATGTATGCATATTCCCATAGCACCCCAGGTCTCAGAGATGATGGTCCCCCCTTAAGTATACTAGCACCCAAACCAGCTGGACCCTTTAGGTCCACCAGGGACTTGAATTGGCCCCTGGGAAAGGTTCTTTTGGTGTCTAGGATTCCTCGTGCATGGGAAGAACAAGACAGATTCAGATGGGACGAAATGCATTAATTGGTTATGAAGAAGGTGGAGGAAGAGGATTGAGACCACGTCAGTGGCATTGGGGACACATTAGCAGACGACGTGAGGAAGCCCCGCTAGTCTACGAAACCAACCTCCTTACCACAAGGGTTTGCAAGAACATTTGTGGCCCAGGACTAAAGGACTCGCTACAGGGAGGTGAGGTCAGAGGTCAGCTCAATCCTGAAATATAAAGGTGGCAAATGGGGTCACAACAAGAGGCAGCATCATCCAAGGACTCAGGGACTCTCATGGAAAGGGCTTTCTCTTGCCTGCACCCACACCAACACCCCTCTGCACCCAGGGTGAGGAGGCTTCCTGTAAAGCAGCATCTTGGCGGGGAGACAGGATCCTGAAAGCAGGGTGGTTGTGGTACTGGAGGGAAGCTAGTGGTCCTGAAGCAGCCTAGAGAGGGTGGCTCAGCTGTGCATCCTGCTCCAGCCTTCTCTACTCCTTGCTTCCGCTCATGAATCAGGGCTCGTCCCCCCTCCCCACCCGCCTCCCCAGCTCCTCTGGGTGCCAGGTCTGGAAAATGGTGCTGTTCTCAGTGAGACTTCACTAGAATGCAAGGGCTCTGCTTCTACACAGCCGGGGGCGGGGGGCGGGGGCAGACAGCAGGGGCACATGGAGGGGCGCAGCTGGGCTGCTGCGAACCCTGCTCCTCCTGTGGCCGCCCTGGCCATCCCACTGCTTCAGAGCCTCCCTCAGCCACCCATGCAGTCCAGATAAGATGTGGACACATAGGGGGCGGGGGGTAGGGGGGTCTGGTGGGGGAGGGGAGAGTGGCCTGATTCAGGAAACCAGAAGCCATACAGCTGCCTTGAGCTGTGCAGAGCGGAACAGATAGAGAGTGACGCGGCGGGTGGGGGACGGGAGGAGGGAGGCTGCCAGATGGATGAGCACCAAGAATCTCTCTCTGTCCTCAAGTGACAAATTGGTTTTGTCAGGGACTCTATGCCTAAGTGAACAGTGAGGCTGCTCTGGTCCTTTCCTGGCATCTCATTCTTGTCTCTTTTTTCTCCAGGTTGGGGAGGCTTCAGGCAGAGAGAATCAAGAAATAGTCTCCACTTTATTCTCACGCCCTCCCCTGTGCTGCCTGCCCCGGAGGAACGTCTTCCCTTGATTGAGGCTGGCTGAACATTACCAGGACAAGAAAGGATGCACATCCCCACCCCTACCCAAGAGGGAAGAGGACATGGGGGGCTGGCTCACCCCTGCTTGGCCCTCATACTAGTGTTCCAGAAGCCGCCTACCTCTGTTCCTCCTCCAATTCTTCTTTGGTCATCATCTGCTTGTATTGGCTTCCCCTCAGCTGCCCAGGGCTGTACTTGAAGGAGAAGGCCGCTCCTGTGGGGACAGTAGGTAAGTTTATCACCAACTTGGGAGGCTAGGCTGTCCCCATTGATGCCCAGCAGCACCCCCTTTCCATGGTTAGTTTAGTGTGTGTGTGTGTGTGTGTAACTGGGGACTAAACTGAGGGCCTCGCACATGCCAGGCTAGGCAAGCATCCTTCCCTGAACTACACCCTCAGCTCTCCCTCTGATTGTTTTCAAAGAAGAAGTCTAGCAACATAGTTCAGTGGGTAGACAGAAAACAAAACAACAACAGCCACCCCTGGGTGGGGGGCTCATGCTCTTAATCCCAGTACTCAGGAGCAGGAGCCAGAGACAGGCAGATCTCTGAGCTCGAGGTCAGCCTGGTCTTCAGGACAGCCGGGGCTACACAGAGAAAACTTGTCAGAGAGGCCAACAAGCCACACGCACAGTCCTTGTGCCGCCAGCCTGAATGCAGCCCCAGCTTCAGAGGGGGCCGCACACTCAGTGACATCATCTTCTCACCCCTGCACCTGACCCCAGGCTCATCCTGTCCTTTCTATGAACTCCTCTGGTTTCCTACGCCTTGGTCTTTAATGGGGGTCAGATGGAAGCGAGACCCAGACAGAAACTATCCCCTGGGCTGCTCCATCTTCCAAATGTCATCCCCTCCCCAGGCCAGTTTAAGCCAGCCCAGAGCTGTCTGCCTGTCTCTGAGCCAACAGTTCTTCAGTTGTTTGCCTGCAAGGATCATCCCCCAACCCCCGATCCAACTCCTGCCATGTGGCCTCCCTCAACCCGCTTATGCTGATCACACCTACAGCCCACGCCACTCACATCTCAGGGAGCACATGGGTCCCCACACTGGGCCCCAGGGACTCAGCCTTCCTTCTCTTCTCCTAGGCTTGGGACAGCCAGGCCCAGTCGCTCTGGCCCCCCACCCCCATCCCCCAGGTTATCAGCAATTGAAGGCATACATCAGGCCTAAGATGGGATGTACGAATGAACAGGCTTGGCGGACTGCCAGGGCCTGAGAGCGGCCTACAGTGCCTGCAGGGCTGTTAGAAAAGGGAAACCTGCAGGTCTGGGGGTGGGGGGGGGGTGGGGGGGGTGTCGGCAGACAAGGGCCAGGGCATGTGACACAGCGACAACACAGATGCTGGGGTACCCCAGCAGAGGGAGGCAGGAGAGGTAGGGCAGCAGGGAAAAGAGGGGTGTCCTAATGAGAAAATCTGCTTGGAAGCAATCCCTCAGTGTCTGGGGAGACTGAGAATGTCGGGCTGGCTGGCTTCTCTCTAATGCCTGTGAAGACAGAGAAAGGCTGGGGATGGTGACAACCAGGGACACTGTTGACTCCTCTTCCAGCTGCTATTCTAGAACTTCTCCTGCCTGAGGAGTGTGAGACACCTCCACATCCTTTCACAGCAGGTCAGACTCACGTCATCAGATAGATGGACGCTGACCCGGAAGAAAAGGGCGCTGGGATTAGCATTCTCTCCCGGCTCAGAGGAAGAAGGTTCTGGAGATGATCTCAGAACCCAAACACTCTGCAGGGGCCATGCTGTCCCCTCATCAATCCTCATGCAGGAGGATTGGGGTCCTCACTAGGCAGCTGCCCGAGGCCTTCCTCAGGAAGCTATCTCGGCCTTTTACAAAGACGATTCGCTCCTCGAATCATCTCACAAGCACTGAGAGAGCACAATTCCAGGTGCTGGTGATCCTGCAGTGAGCAGAAGACAAAGGTACACAGACAAGCCTCAAATCAGCAGCTGGTCCTAAAAGAGGGCGGCTGAGATGGGAGGGGCTGCTGAGATGGGAGGGGCGGCTGAGATGGGAGGGGCCGCTGAGATGGGAGGGGCCGCTGAGATGGGAGGGGCTGCTGAGATGGGAGGGGCTGCTGAGATGGGCGGGGCCGCAGGCGAGTTGATGGAGCCAGGCGTGGTGGCATACACCTTTTGTTTTGTTTTGTTTTGTTTTTTGGTTTTTTGAGACAGGGTTTCTATGTGTAGCTTTGGACCCTGTCCTGGAACTCGCTCTGCAGACCAGGCTGGCCTTGAACTCACAGAGATCCGCCTGGCTCTGCCTCCCGAGTGCTGGGATTAAACGCGTGCGCCACCACCGCCCGGCTGGTGGCATACATCTTTAGTCCCAGCACCTGGGAGGCAGATCTCTGGGAGTTCCAGGCCAGCTTGGTCCACACCAAGCTTCAGGCCAACTAATACAGAGGGTACAGGACAGCAAGGTGACTGTGGGTGAGTGGACAGAGGCATATGAGTCAACTGGGGTTGGCTTGGCTGCCAGGGCTCTTGCTGGGGTGAGATGGTGGCCCTGGGGGTCTGAGGCAGAGCTGGGCTGCCCTTCCCTTCTCAGAAAACTTCTCTGAAACCGCCCCCCTCCCCCGCAGCCCTCCAACCCCCCCACCTCCCAGCCAGGCTAAGCTCTGCCCAGCTAGGCTAATAAAGTAGGAATCTCCACTCCATCTGGGTCATCGGAACCAAGAGCTTTCAAGTCCAGGGTGTAGACAGGTCAGGGAGCTTCCCTGAGCAACTGCATCTGCTGCAAGGCGATGCAGCGTTGCTACTGCAGAGCAAAGAGGTCTTTGTCTCAAAGCCCGGGATATCCTGCATGCCACGGCTGCAGCCTGGGCTTGCGAACAGCCCTCAGGATGGACCCAGAACTGACAAAACCAGTGAACCTCAGCACCTGGGTGTTGCTGTTTTAGAAAAATAAACATTAAAAAGTCCTGCCAGCTTAGTGCAGGTCTGGGTTCTGGTTTATGGGGCAAGTCTTATTAGCTTGATGCTCTTCCAGGCCGCCAGGACAGTCCACTGACGCAGGCTTTAACGCAGGCTTTAACTTAATCACAGGCGGTGGGCCGAATCCAATTTTGTTAGAGCGAGGAGGCTGGTTGTGAGAGCCCCTGGGGAGTGCGTATAGGGTGGGGGCTTGCTCTTCCAGGCATCATGAATCTGAGTCGCTAGGGGAAGTCATTTTAGCGACCCTAATCAATTAGCCTGGGAGGCTGAGCTGCTTCTTGCAGAGGGGATGGTGGGGGCGGGGGGTGGGGCGGGGATGGGGAAGGAATCCTTGCTTCCTTTGGACAGCTGAGAACACTGGCCTTTCTCCCTCTGCCTGGGTAGAGGGGCAAGCCATGGGTATTGGGGGCTGTTCAGGGACAGTGGCTCAGATGAGAAGGAGAACTCAGGGGTAAGCATGGGGCTGGGTACAGGGCTTATGGATGTCAGCCGAGTTAGGAACGGTAGGCTGTAGGTCTCACTTTGTTTGAACCCAGGGGTCTCCAGACTTCCCTTCTGCATGCTCAAGTCACTCACGGGACCTTGGTGCCCATGCCAACAGGGATAGACTCTTGGGCCACAGTTGCTGTTAGCTCCTAACTTGATCTAGGAGTGGAGAGCAGGGGCCTGGCTGGCCAGGGGTTGACACCCCACCTACCACTGCCTATGCCTGGGTCCCCTCAGAGGCTGTACCAATAGACACCCACGGCTCTGCTCACTCTCTGGAGGGCCTGGGGACTTCACAGAGCCTCATTGCTGCTGACACCCACAGGAGCCTCAGTTTCCCCATTCCTAACCCCCCTGCTTCCCATTGTTCCTGACAGCAGCTGGCTTAAAGCTGCAGCTGGTCTTGCTTCTTCTAAAAAATGAAATATCCGCCAGGCAGTGGTGGTGCACACCTTTAATCCCAGCACTTGGGAGGCAGAGCCAGGTGGATCTCTGTGAGTCCGAGGCCAGCCTGGTCTACAGAGAGAGTTCTAGGACAGGCTCCAAAGCTACACAGAGAAACCTTGTCTCAAAAAAAAACAAAAAAACAAAAAACAAAAACAAAAACAAAAAACAAAAAAAACAAAAAAAACTCCCCCCAAAAACAAACAAAAACCCAAAACTCTGTATACTCGCTGTACTGATCCAATAAATATTAACATTTTGTTTGTTTTTGGTTTTCTCCAGTTTCTTTTTGATGGAAATAAAACGTGACAGATCAGACAGTCTGTCTGTCTGTCTGTCTAAGCCACACAGGGGCCTCTTGGTTTCATGTTCCTGTGGTTCCCTCTCTCCCATCTGAGCCACCCAGAGCTCAGAAGCAGCAGCCCCATCTCCTGAAGGACCTCCCAACAAAATGCACCCGAGAGAGCGCCAACAGAAAGACAGACATGGTTGGGAGGGGAGACCTGGCAGCCAGGGAGCTGTCACCCCTAAGGGGAGGCCTCCTGCACCCGACAATGCTTGATTTACAGACCAAAAAGCAAGGACCAAAAGTCAAAGGAGGTATTCGGGGCTGGCGGGGCCTTGATCTGATCATCCCATAGCCCCTCTCACTCCATCCACCCTCAAGCCCCCGTGGCCCCCCAATTCTCGGATCCCACTGCCCCCCGAGTGGCCCAGGGAGAGCCAGACTGCAGCCTCATGGGAGTGGGTCCCGCTCACCATCCTCTTCCTCAGGCTCTTCAGTGGGAGGTCCCGTCTCACTGTCTGAGTCTTGCTCTTCATCCTGCAAGACAATGGCAGGGGTCAGTGCCGCTTAGCCAGATGAACCCTGTCCTCTCTCAGCAGAGGGTGAGATGTGGGCTGAGGGATGGGGCCCTAGAGTGACCACCCCCTAAGCTGGGGAAGCGGTGGGTGGGTGGGTGGGGGAGGGGGGAAGACATCTCCAAGGTCCAGTGTGAGCATGTCCACATGTCCAGCATGTCAGGGCAAACTCAAGGGTGAGGAGGAGGAGGAGGTGATAGAGGACCCTGCCTACCACAAGCCCTCAACTTAGGCCATTCCCAGGTAGTGCCTGTGCAGACATTTTGGCAAGTGGCCTAGAACCCCCACCCTCACCTTAGTGAGTAAAGAGAGACGGGGAAAGCTGGCTGCGCTACCTCGGGCCGAGGCCAGCTCCACAGCCCAGCTATTCCAAGATAATGGCCTTCCTGGCTTCTTCTAACCAACGTTACTTTCTGTCTCCAGTCATCTCAGTGACCATTTACCCAAAATTGGAACTCCACCCCCTTAGCCTGGTCTCTCCCACACATGGATTCAATAAACAGATGGCTGGGAGAGGCACCCCATCCCGTCCTGGGATGGCCTTGGTGGAAGGAAGGAGTGACTTCAACTTCAGGAATGTTTGAGGATGAGAGAGGCATGTGATTGGCCGACTATGTGGGACCGGAGGGTGTGAGGAGGGGATGAGAGGCCCAAGGAACTGTGGCTTGGAAGCCTAGCAGGCCAGTGTGGAAACTTGAGGTTTGAGGGGGAGGGCAGGGGTAGAGGTGAGCAGCCTGCACTGGAGACAAACACGGACATAGGTCTGGGGTACCCCAGACACCCCGAGAAGCAGCCAGCCTCAGGAGGAGGAGGCTTCCCAAGTGAACAGTAGGCTGAGCCTGGAAATAAAGCTTTCACAAGCCCCATGGTGACGGGTCACAAGAGGCAGACTCTGGGGCTTGAGCTCCTCAGGCTATCGGGCCAGTGCTCTCACTTAGCAGATCTTGTAGACTCAGTGCTAGCTAGGCAGGAGCCATACTGCCCCAGCATCGGCAAGGCTGTGTCCTGGCAGACCAGACATCTCCCCAGTTTTGCAAAGCAAAGTATCTTTGTAGCTAAGGGAGGTGAACAGGTCAAAAAAGGAGACGCCCGTGTTGATGCAGGGGACTCACTCTAAAGGATCTGTTGTCTAGACTACAAACATCTATCCAGGACTTTCATACAACAGTGCTAGAATTAAGTACCTCCTGGCTAAATACACTTGGCTAACATGATCTCCAAATTGTCGACCAGTCTAAAGTCACCAGGCATGTATATCACACAGTGCATGCAGAGGAGGTGTCTGCACGCACTGACTATGAGAAAGAGTCAAAAGAATTTATGAGGGGGCGCTGGGGAGGTGGGCAGAGTGCACAAGCCTGAGAACTGAGTCTGGATCCCCGGCAGCCATGGAAAAGAAGGGCAGGGTTGTGCATGTCAGTAACTCCAGTGCTGGGGTGTGTGTGGGAGACAGGCAGATCCTCAGGGCTTACCAGCTAGCCAGCCTACACAACTGGTGAACTCTGGAGTCAGGGAGAGATCCTTTCCTTAAAGACAGGGTGGAGCTGGACACAGTGTCACAAACCTTTAATCCCCAGCACTGGAGAGGCAGAAGCAGGAGGATCTCTGTACGTTCTTGGTCAGCCTGATCTCCAGGGTGAGTTCCAGATCAGCCAGAGCTACATAGCAAGACTCTATCTCTAAAATAAAATAAAGTAAGGCCTTGAGGATGGGGTTGTGTGTGTGTGTGTGTGTGTGTGTGTGTGTGTGTGTGTGTGTGTAGACGCGCGCATGCGTGCCTGCTAGTCTACCACCCTCCGCCTTGTTCCCTTTAGACAGGGTCTCTCACTGAACCCGGAGCTAGGCTGGCAGTCATCAAACCCCAATGATCCTTTTGCCACTGACCCCTCAGTGCTGGCGTTATAGGCGTATGAGCACGTGGATGCTGGAGATTCAAACTCAGGTCCTCATGCATGTGTGGCAAGCGCCACTTCCCCAATCCCTGGGATGGGTCTTAATCCAAGATCCTCTATCCTTATCAGAGAATCCAGACATAAACAGAGACACTGGCACACACAGATCACATGCACACCCACTGAGACGCTGCAGAAGAAATGCACTCTGCCAACCACTTGGATTTGGACTTTCGACCTCAGAGAAAATAAATTGCTGTTGTTTAAGCCCCCAGCCCATGGCATTTTCCTGCAGTGGCCCTGGCAAGCCCACAGAGCAGGCTTCCGGGGACGGTAAACCAACCTCATGAAAACTGAATGCTATAACACAGGCTGATGTCATCCCGGCTGGTCCCCCAGCAGGCCTGGCTGAGGCTCAAAGCCAATCACCTCACAAGCAGTTCTGCTGCTGCTGCCCTGCCTGCTGCTCTCTTCAGTACACTAAATAAACCTGCCTGCTTTCTCAACAAAACAAAGCAAAAGCCAATCACCCCACTGAGTCTCAGTTCAGTGCAACTGAATGGATACTGTTTCAACTGCCCGTGTTCTGAGTTAATTTTCCAGTTTAGCTTCTTCCAGAGGTGGGGAAGTCTCCAACCAGCATCCCCAAGGACCCAGGCAGATAGTACTGCAGAGGAAAACCACCAGACAGGAAGACAGGATAAGGGTGTGAGTGCGTGCGTGGTGTGTGTGTGTGTGTGTGTGTGTGTGTGTGTATGTACCCATCTGCTGCGTGTGTGTATATGTACCCTTACACTGCGTGTGTGTGTGTGTGTGTGTGTGTATGTACCCATTTGCTGCATGTGTGTGTGTATGTGTGTGTATGTACCCATCTGCTGCGTGTGTGTGTATGTACCCTTACACTGCATGTGTGTGTGTATGTACCCATCTGCTGCATGTGTGTGTGTGTGTATGTGTGTGTATGTACCCATCTGCTGTGTGTATGTCTGTGTGTATGTATGTATGTATGTATGTATGTATGTACCCATCTACTGTGTGTGTGTGTATGTATGTACCCATCTGCTGTGTGTGTGTGTGTGTGTGTATGTACCCATCTGCTGCGTGTGTGTGTGTGTGTGTGTGTGTGTATGTACCCATCTGCTGCGTGTGTGTGTGTGTGTGTGTGTGTGTGTGTGTATGTGTATGTACCCATCTGCTGCATGTGTATGTGTATGTACCCATCTGCTGCGTGTGTGTGTGTGTGTGTGTGTGTGTGTGTGTGTGTGTGTGTGTGCTGTCCCAGGAGATGTGACTGTCTTGGATCCTACCAACAATAGCAGCAGAAACCCTGTGGCTAGCCACCAAAGCTAACCCAGGATGTAATGACCTGGACTAAATCTGACGGTCATCTGGACCATCTTTAGACCATGGCAGCTCTGCCAGGCAGGTAGAACTCAGCTTGATCCCAACTCCTCAGGGAGGATCTCCTGGAGAAAGGGTAAAGCAGGCGGGAATGGAGGGGACAGCCTACAGGTCTCGCCCCCTAGTGGAAGGCTCAGTTTTCATCTTTGCCTGGGGGGCAAGGAGGGGTTGGCAGTCTGCCTGGAGAGCAGAGCTGGCTAGTGCCAGCCAGTTGGAACCCAGAGCCCTTCTCCCTAGAGGTCCTAGCAGATCAGTTCGGCCACCTCCCCACCTCCAAACAATGCTTCCAGGAGGACACTGGGCCCCCTCTCACTACGTCTCTACCGATGAGAAGACATGCTCCTTAGGGCAAGGAACTTCTCTTCAGAACCGAACCACTCACCCTGTCCCAAGTTGGTCCTCTCAATCCATCCAGGTATTCAGGGCAACAGCCTAACACTCATTCCGTCACAGCCTCTGACAAAACTCCAGCACGACTCCTGCTCTCCCACCCCCACAAGTCACCTCCACCTTCTGCGGCCCGCTCTCCTCTAATTTTCCCTACTTTTAGAACATCGTATTCTTTGAACCACAGTCCCTATTCTTTGCTTTATACGCAGGGATGTCTTGCCTGTATGTATGTCGGGTCTGCTTCCATGTGCATGCCTGGGCCACAGAGGTCGGAAGAGAACCTTGGATCCCCTGGAACTGGAGTTACAGACAGTTGTGAGCTGCCATGTAGATGCTGTGAATCAAACCCAGGTCCTCTGGAAGACAGCCAGTGCCCTTACCCATCTCTCCAGACCCCACAATCTCCATTTTCTTTCTTTATTTTTGAGACAGTCTCGTGCAGCCCAGGCTGGCCTTGAACTTGCTGCGTTGCTGAGAATGACACTAACTTGCAATTCTCCCACCCTTACCTCCCAAGTGCTTAGATTACAGGCATGTGGCACCAGCTAGGTGTATCGGTCTTTAGGGCCTGTGATCTGCCCTTTGTCATTCACTCCTGGGTCCCTTGACTCCCTCTGTCTGGCCAGAGGTCTCCTAGATTACAGGGCCTGACAGCTCAGAGCTGTTTTGGTGCCTGGATCTGCAGGACGGTAAGAGGGGCCAAGGTTTCCATAATACGGGCAGCTCTCTCTGTGTCTGTGTACTGAGCTCCACATCAGGCCCAAGAGGGAGAAAAATACTTAGCACTCCAGCAGACACGAGAACCCAATGTAAAACACGTGCCAGTTTCTGCTTGAACACATCTTGCACTAGGAGTTCACTCCCTTACAGAGTAGTCTACCTCTCTCATGCTACCTCTCTGGAGCATAAGACAAGGCCTGGGAGTAAGTTCTGCAGCAGGGGGATGCTAGCTAGGCCATAAGCAAGGAGAGAAGAGACAAAGAGACTGGACCTGCCTTTAGCAAAGAGCCAGCAGCAAGTTTTTGTTTTGATTTTTGCTGGTTTGGCAAGTTCTTTATTAAAAAAGACCTTATGGTGCCTGCTGTATGGTGGACCCATGGTAGGGGTGAGGAAGGGGTGGTGAACGTGGTGGGTAAGGGCCTGTTCTCATTCTTGTGTGCAGACATTCCTCTGCACAGACAATGTGCTCAAAAATAAAAGATGACCTCATGCTGGTTAAGTGCTCTGAGGAGAGCCAAATAGGATGATGCATGGGCGAGTGAGCTGAGGGAGAGCAGAGAGGAGGGTGATTTACATCTGCTAACGTGGTCAAGGGCACGGAGACAGGATGTGCACAGGGCTTGTATACAGATGCAGCCCGGGCATACTAGGCAGTCAGTCAACATGAGTGTCTAGACACCGGCCTGAGTATGAGGAAGACACCAGTGGCCTCAGTGGGGACAGTAATCACTGTGATCAAGAGGCTGGAGTCTGCCCTGTGCAGCAGAAGTTGCAGAGGGCTTCAAGCAAGGAGGCTGGGACGGGGCTTCTGGGTTAATAGAAGGCAAGCTGGGAGCTGGAGGAGCTGGGCAGCCTCGGGCACACGAGCAGCAGGAGCCTGGGAAAAGGTTACCGGACAGGCTGCAAGGACACGGCATGGAACAGCAGCCAGCAGGACTACAGGGGAGCTGCTCCTTTGGGAGGAGGCTCTGGGAGACAGGCAAGAACTTGCAGGGCAGAGAAAAGAGGAGGGAGAGACAGGCCTGGACTTCAGGAAAAATTTGGGGAAGAAGGCAGAAAATGACAGACACCTGAGGAGAAGGGGTGTCTGCAGGAGATGGGAGAGGACTTCGGGAGGTGTCCTTCACTATCATCAGAACGATGGTGGCAGCAACGGTGGAGCAGGCCCAGAGGCCCTTCAGTTGATACTATACACCAGAACCTTTCCCATAGGGGGAGGGGGAGGGGAAGGGGAAATCCCAAACACGAGAGCACACTTACACATAAGGATGCACTGGCTAAGGGGCTGGCTTACAGCACAGGGAAAGTGGGGAATGGAGATGGAGTGTGTGTATGCTGGGGGGCAGGCAGACTGAGACAGAGATGGACTGACTCACTGCTCTTTTGGCTAGCACTCATGCCCCGACCTTACCCTGTTCAGACATCCAGTCCAAAAACACCATCCCGGGCTCTGAGCACAGCCCAGTCAAGGGCACACTGGCCAGCCTTAAGCAAACTCACTCAAATGAGCGGGCATGGCAGACTCAATCCATCAGATTAACAGTTTTGGGCAGTGCTCCCATGAGAGGGTTTAAAGGACACCAGGAGCTTCATAAAACCAGAATGAAACAAAACACACTAAAGTCCCGTGGGGGGCAATCTGCACTGTACCCAACCCCAGGGCAAATGCTGGGCTGACGTCCATCCACCACATTTCAAAATAGAAAGAGGAAAATCAAGAAGGGATTGATGCAGTCGGAATTGAGAGGGTTGGGGAATGCAGTCATTCATTCAGGAAGCCAGGATGGAGGACTTTGGGAAACTGAATATAACTGAAAGTTGGGCTGGGCTGTCCTCAGGAGCTTAGAGCACTTGCAGATAATGTTCCGGGTCCATCACCAGCAGGTGCGTGCGTGTGTGTGTGTGTGTGTGTGTGTGTGTGTGTGTGTGTGTGCACATATAGAGTAGGTGGACAGCTTTTAAAATCTCTTTAAGGTTTTGGCCAGAGGAGAAGCCAGTTTCGGATTCCCTGGGAGTGGGAGTTGTGGGTGGTTTGGCCCAGAGTGAGACTTGCTGCAGACCAGCAGCCCAAGTTCCTGGTGGAGGAGGTACTTTCAAGTCCTGAGATTTATCTCCAGACTGTAAGTCCTCAAAAAATAAGAATCTACCCAAGAGAAAAACTACTCCAGGAACTCCCCTTACCCATTGCTTGGGGTTATGCAATCTCTGCTCTGTGTGTGTGTGTGTGTGTGTGTGTGTGTGTGTGTGTGTGTGTGTGTGTGTAATTAAGAAAATTTTAGTGGTTGGAGAGATGGCTCAGAGGTTAAGAGCACTGGCTGCTTTTCCAGAGGACCTGAGTTCAGTTTTCTGCATCTGCATGGTGGCTCATAACCCATCCTTAACTCCAGTTCCAGGGATCCAGTGCCCTCTTCTGACCTCAGAGGGCACTAGGGACACACATGGTGCACAAACATACATTCAGGCAAAACATCTAAAATAAAATTACATCCAAGATAAAATTTAAAATGTAAAAAACATATTATTATTATTATTATTATTATTATTATTATTATTATTATTATTGGGAGGTGATTTCCAGATGGGGTTTCTCTGAGTAACCTTGGCTCTGTAGACCAGGCTGGCCTCGAACTCACCTGCCTCTGCCTCCCGAGTGCTGGGATTAAAGGCATGCACCACCACCACCTGGCAAATTGTTATTTTTTTCTTTTAGTGTGTATGTCCATGCATGTGTGTGTACACCACGTCACACAAGTGGAGGTCAGAAGACGACTTGTGGGAGCTGGTTCTCTCCTTCCACCACGTGCGCCCTGGGGATCCAACTTAGGTTGTCAGGCTTGGGTGCACACACCTTCACCCACTGAGCCATGTGCTGGCCCACTTCTGCAGTCTCTGCTACCCACTGTCAGCCAAAGGGTGAAATGCTTGGGAGAGGTATGGTGACGCATGCCTGTAATTTCTATGGGGGCTGGAAAGATGGGTTAGCAGTTAAAAGCACTATTCTTCCAGAGGCCCTGGATTCCATTCTCTCTCTCTCCTTTTTTTTTTTTTTTTTTTTTGTTTTTCGAGACAGGGTTTCTCTGTGTAGCTTCCTTTCCTGGAACTCACTCTGTAGCCCATGGGTTCCATTCTCAGGACACACATGGTAGCTCACAACCATCTGTAACTAGTTCCAGGGCATCTGACCCCTCTGTTGACCTCTGTAGGTCCCTTGCATGCACATGGCCCATGGACATATATTCAGGTTCACACACATACACTTAACATTAAATTTAAGAAAGTAATCTCTAGGGTTGAAGAGACAGCTCAGTGGTTAAGAGCACTTGATGCCCTTGTAGTGAACCCAGGTTCTGTTCCCACATGGTGGCTCAAAACACTCTGGAACTCCAGTTCCAGGGGGATCTGACATCCTCTTCTGGCTTCTGTGATATACATGCATACAGGCAAAACACTCACACCTATAAACTTAATTTTTAAAAATACACTATTTGCTATAGTGTATGTGGTGGTGTGTGTGTCTGAAATCCCAACATTCAGGAGGCAGAAGCAGGAGGACCAAGAGTTCAAGGCCTCCAGTGGTGGTGGTGGTGGCGGCGGCGGCAGCAGCAGCGCACACCTTTAACCCCAGCGCTGGAGAGGCAGAGGTTGGTTGATCTCTGTGAGTTCCAGGCCAGCCTGGTCTACAAAGCGAGTTCCAAGACAGCCAGGCTACACAGAGAAACTCTGTTTCCCAAAAATAAATAAATAAGTAAATAAGTAAATAAATAAATAATAAATAGAGAGTTCAAGGCCATCTTTGGCTACTCAGTGAGTTCAAGACGCCCTGAAGCTATATGGAACCCTGTCTCAACACAACAGCGGACCTGGCAGCTGACTGGGTGGGGGCAGAGCCTTCATAAGGATGCTACAAGACACCACAACATCCCCCTTCTCTGCCATGCAAGGACACAGCTGGAGACAAGCCAAGACAGGCAGGAGAGCTCCCCAAAGTCCAACCTGCCGCCTCTGAGACCTGAGGATCCCCGCTTCTAGAAATGCAGGAGACAAATGTGTCACCGAAGCCACCTGTCAGCAGTTTTTGTCCTATCAGCTAAGGTGACTAAGACAAGACCCCACATGGCATGAACTGCTGGGCGCCTCTCTGGCCTTCTGCTACCTGTTTGGGAAAGAGAACAAAGTGGGACCATGTTGGGACTGCTAAGTCAGAAGAGCTGGCAGGGAAGGGCTCGACAGTTCCTCGGTCATCATGAGAGGGCTGGGTCTATCAGCTTCTGGTGTCAACAAGGCTGGGGACGACAGGGTCAAAGGGTCACTAGGTGGACTTGCTAGCAAGATGAGTTAAAAGTTGAAAGAGCAATACAATGAAACCCGCACACTTCTCACCTAGACACACCAATTTTGCCATCTGTCCATTCTCTCTCTCTCTCTCTCTCTCTCTCTCTCTCTCTCTCTCTCTCTCTCTCTCTCTCGCTGTCTCTGTCTCTCTCTCTCTCTGTCATTCTCTGTGTAACTACTGAAATCTTGACAGACAATTCCAGCATGCAGGCCTGACAACCTGAGTCTGACCCCCACAGGTTGCCCTCTGACCTCCATATGGGCACCATGCCACTGGCATGAGCACACACGCGAAATAAATAAGTATATTCATAATAAAGAATTTTAGCCTGTATCTCTAACAATAGATCTCTCTCCTTTCTAAGTGCTACGACTCTAACCCACGACGACCTCATCTAAACCAGGCAAGTGCTTTACCACGGGGCAACATCTCTAGCCTTCAAGGACATTTTTCCATAGAAACTTAGTGTCAGTACTGCACACAAAAAGTCCAGTACTGCACACAAAAAGTCCAGTACTGCACACAAAAAGTCCAGTACTGCACACAAAAAGTCCAGCACTGAGACCACATTTACAAATGTCTTAGTGTTGGAGATTTAGCTAGATAGTACCTTGCTTAGCATGCCCCACGCTTCAGTTCCACTCCAAGTACCACACACACAAAAGTCCCTACTCTGGGCCTGGAGAGGTGGCTCAGCACTTGATGCTCTTGAAGAGGACTTGGATTGTGTTCTTAGAACCTACATGGCGGCTCACAACCATCTGTAATTCCAGTTCCAGGGGACCAGACGCCCTCTGGCCTTTGCATGTAGTGCATATACATGCATGCAGGCAAATATTCACACACATAAAATAAAAATAAATGAATCTTTTTAACAAAGCCCTTACTGTGTGTTTATTTTTGCTGTTTTGAGAGGGTCTTGCTGTGCTGCCCCAGCTGGCCCTTGGACTCGAATGAGACTCCTATCTCAGTCTCCAAGTATACAGTATACCACATAAATACAGTCGCACTCAGCTCTTATTTTGTTCTTGAGTAGAACTAGAACCCACATGCCAGGAGATCTGACTGTGGCACAGACTAAGCGTCTAACCCCAGAGTCACTGGAATGACCCTGTGCCATGGTCTCTCAGGGACTCTTCCCATATAGACATGACCTTGCTGGGATGCTGATATCTCACAGGGGACCTGACTACCCTAAAACCCCAGCATACACATCAGCATCAAGAAAGTTCTGCTCCCTGGCTTTGAGAAGGACCGACTTTTGTCCAGACACTGTTGCCTCATCGTTCTCTGCAGGAACTAGGTACGCCCACCATGTTTCCTACACTGACCACCCCAAGTAATCCCCACGAGAGAGGTAAAAACACATTCTAATAATATGATTCTACCTTTCGGAGTCCCTGCCTGGGCTGTCAACTGATGGGGAGTGGGGAGGAAGGCCGGCCCCTCCCGACCTCAGGTTGGCCGCCCCCACCCCCCTTGAGTCTGCACTCAGGCCTCAGTCTATAACTGCTTCCTCCCACCACCTGGTCCCTGGCCTTAGGGCACCCAGCCTTCGAGAGGGGATGCTGCCCAAGTGATCTACAGCAGCAGCTGAAGGCTGCCTCCCTGGGCTCCAGATCCTTTTCAATAATCAGCTTTGTGAGGCAGAGGCTGCAGCTGCCACAGACTGCCCAGGCCTTGCTGGGAAAGGAGAAGACTGGATTAGGAGGGAAGTAGTTAATGGAAAATGAAGAGGGGATGAGGTGGGGAGAGTGAGTTAAGCCTCTCAGGGGCAGTGGCTCCCGGCCAACAGCAGGTGGGGTGGTTCCTGATCCCTGGCTGCTGCCTTTCACTTAGGGACCATGAACGGGGCCTCCACTGAGGGCACCATCCAGCCAGAGCTTCTCATCCCAACCCAAGTTATCTTCCCTGGGGGCATACCTCGTCCCCCCTCCCCTCTAGGGTGATCATCAGAAGAAAGTGCTGGGAACACTTGGAAATGCCTGAGTCCATTTCAAGACAACTTCTAAGCAGCAACTTCTAGCACTACAGCACACTACTGGGAAGTGTGGAAGGCACACACACACACACCTGTCTCCCAGGCCTGCCCTCACCTAGGATTCTGCCCACTTGACATTTCGGGCAGGAGTCCAGGGAGCTGGTCAGCATCCGTGCTCACAGGTGATGGGCCTGATTTCCAAATGAGGAAACTGCCTTACTGTTTAGTGGATTCCCTCGGGATAGCTCGCTGCCATCTTGAATTCCCTACATTGTACCTGGTCCTCCAAAGCATCCACTAACCTGGGTGTGGTGGTGAGTGCCTATGATCCTAGGATTTTGTTTTGTTTTTTCTTTTGGAGTGGGGGTGGGGGTCTCATCATGTAGACCAAGATGGATTTGAACTTACAGAGTTCTGTCCTCTTCTGTCTCCTGAGTGCTTGGAATAAAGGTGTGAGTCACCAGGCTTTGGGAAGTTGAGACAGGAGGATTTTCAGTTTGAGGTCAGCCTTGAATATATAGTAGGCTCCAGGTCAGGCCGGCCAGGCTACATGTCAAGAATTTACCTCAACCAACCAAAACCAGAAAAAAATCCAAAATGCCCGCTCGGGTTAATTATATGAAGGCCCCTGTTTCAATACTATACTGACCCCATTGCAGGACGAGTGTCTCAAAAAGCCTTGTAGGATGTTCCTGAGGAAATTGCCCTGCTCCAAAGGATCAAGATAGGACTGTGCCCCCCCCCCCCCCCAAAGACACCTTGGTCTAGATAAAATCTGCTGCTGGGCGAAAGAGGAACAATTTGAAACAGGGCTGGTGGAGAGGGCCAGAGATGGCCTGAGAGGAGTCCCAAGCCCCACCTGCCATTCACCCCAGGTCTGTGAGCCTCCAGCAGCTTTCCACTCTCCCTGGGTTGAACACAATAGCTCTCCTCACAGCCTGGCTCGGGGCAAGTTAGAAGCCACTCTAATGACACAATTAGTCACCCACTTGTCAAGCAAAGAGCCTGCTAGTCGGGGGGTCTGGCAGACTCAGCAAAGAGAGAGGCCTGGGCCCAGGCTCGCTGCCGCCTCTTCTGTCCCAAGAGCTTTACTCTGGTGCAAACTATTGTATCCAGCAAGGGAAGAAGAGGCGCCCATAGACCACACACCAACGCAGCAAGCCCACGGCTGCCACTGTCCTAGCCATCCTGCCTTCAGGATGAAGGCTCAGAAGAACAAAGTGTTTAAATCTGACCAAATACCAGAGTGGGTGGCCCGGCCTGGAGCTGTGAAATCCCAGGAACCTGAGACTAACCAGGATCCAATCCACAGAGCATCAGAGAACGAGTGTATGAGGGATACCCTGTAGAAGGCCTGGCCAGCTGATGACTGGCTCCCAGGAGGTGGGGACAGGGGTGGTGGGGTAGGTGGTGGGGTAGCGCCTCTTCTTGCACCTTTTGTTCCACACAAGCCTGACTCGTCTGCAACCCAGGGGGTGGGGATTGAGTGTGTCAAACCTACAGGCAGTTTTAAAACGACAATAACATGCATCCCAGCAAGTGCTCCTCCTTCGACTCCAGTCCTCCCAGCCTCATACAACGCCCACATTGACTCTGGAATCTGGATTTCAAGTTGACCTAAAAGACAGGCAACTTCCCTTCTCGCACACCCCATCCCAAAGTACTGTGATGTCAAGAGTAAGCTAACTCCAATTCAGACCTTGAGGTAGGGCTCGTGTCCGTGGATTTGGGCACCGGTGGGCAAAAGCGGGGAGAGAGGAGGGTGCAGAGCAGAGTGTCAACGGCCGTGGGAAGCCCAGGAACGCCAGAGCGGGGAGGGAGGGAGGTCAGCTTCACTTTGGGGGAGGATGGAGCGTCCGGCCGTAGGAACCCTCCTTTCCTGCCGGCCGCTAGCTCGGCCCTTCCTGGCAGGCTCGTGGGTGTCTTACCGGGGACCCCACGGCGACCCCGGTGCGTACCTGCCTCCCCTCGTCCGCCGGCTCCTCCGCCGCGGGCTCCCCCAGTTCCGCCATGCGCTCGGGCTGGCGCGGCCCCGCGGGCGCGGGCTCCGGGGAGCAGGGCTCGGGAGGCGCAGGCGGCGCGGGAGCCCCGGGGGCCTCCGCTGGGGACGCGCGTTCCGGGGCCGGGACCGGGGCCGCCCCACGCCGCAGCAGCAGCCAGGCGAGCAGCAGTGCCAGCGCCGTGGCCAGCGCGGGCAGCGCGGCCAGCAGTTCGGCCGGCGCCTCCATCGCGCCGCGGCCGCCGAGTGCCTGCCCGCCCGGACCCCGAGGGAGCCCGCCGCGCCCCGCCAGGAGGCCACGCCCCGAGGCGGAGTCCCGCCCCAAACCACGCCCCCTCGCGCTCTCAGGGTGACTTGGAGCGCGGACCTGGGGAGGCGCTGGAAAGCCCACACCTCGCTGGCTGATGCTCTGGGGCACCAGCTCAGCTCAGGCTTGCTAGATTAGGTGAAAGGCTCATTGTTCATTGTCTTTAGATTGGCTTCATTTCAGCCCTGTGCAGAAGTTTGATCTGAAGACCTGTGATCCCAGCAATCGAAAAGTGGATGGGTGCAAGAGGATCAGGAGTTCAAGGTCTTCCTCGGATACAGTAAATTCTGGGCCATAGAAGATCCTGTCTCAAAACAACACACACCGCACACAGAAATGCTCATCTTTGAGTATTGGTGGTCTGGGTGCTACGGGGGAACGTGTGGAGGCGAGTCCAAGGAGGTTCATGGAAACTGAACACTAATTCCCCCAAAAGGAAAATAATTCAAAGTGAGACATGGTGGCTCTCACCCTTGATCCCAGATCCCAGCACTCCAGAGGCAGAGGCAGATGGTTCTCTGTGAGTTCAAACATAGTTTGATCTACATAGCAAGTTCCAAGTCAGCCAGGGTTGCATATGAGACCCTGTCCAGGAAATCTCTCATGAAGTGGGTTACTGGCAGCCATGGCCTACAGCTGTGGCATTCATGAGTTTTTGCTGAAGGCTTCTCATCGCAGCTTCAGCAAGGGGCTGGAATGAGGTGAAAAGGGTGTTTTTGTTTTTCCATGTCTTTTCTAGGGTTCTATTGATTAAAGTGTAGAACACACTGGGTCCAACTGTGCATTTATTTCCCTAACACTCCCCACCCACCTTCTAATTACTCTGAATAAATACAGGACAAAGTCTGTCAGAAAACGGTACTAACGGAAAACAAACACGCAAACAAACTCTACTGGGCTTGTTTATGCATGCCTGTAATCCCAGTTTTCGGTTGAGGTAGGAGGATCAGTTCAAAGCCAGCCTGGGTTACACGAGTCTGGGTCCAACTTAAGCTACATGAGACCCTGTCTCAAAATAAGAGAAAGAAGTTGGGCTCCCCAGCCCGGATAATGGTGCACACCTATAATCCCAGCTATTTGGAAAGCTGAGTAGGTAGGCCACTTGAGGCCAGTTCAAGGCCAACCTGAGCAGTCTCCGCTAATACAAAATGAGGTTCCAACTTTGGCTAGATGCTAGACTGGGAAGGGATCCCAAGTATACTAGCTAAGTATTCTACCACTGAGCTACAGGCATTATCTTACCTGAGAGAAACAGCTCTGTCACAGCTTCTGAGTTCCAGCTGTGACAGGAAGATTCCCCAGCAACAGGGAAAGCTCAATTCTATAGCAACAGTCACTGGTTTTAAGGGACATGTATGTGTCTCCTCTTAGTGGTAGTTGATGAAAAAGCTCAACTATACAATGCACAAGGGTTTGTCTCTAGGTTCCTGGCTTTTAACCCCTACAGGATGTGCAGCCAAAGTATAGGAGCCTATTTTAGTCCACGACACCCCCCTACACACACACACACACACACACACTGCCCCCATCACCCTACCACATCCTATTTTTTTTTAGTAACAAGATTTCATTCAATAGCCCAGGCTGGCTTTGAACTTTCATTGATCCTTTCCAGTGCTGGGACTACAGGTGTAAGCTACTACACCCTGCTCCCAAACCCAGGCTATTGTTTATTTTCTTAGGTTTATTTACTTTTATTTTATCAGTGTTTTGCTTTCAGGTATGTATGTGCACCACATGCAATCCTGATGCTTGTGGAGGCCAGAAGAGGGTGCTGGATCTCTTGGAACTGGAGCTAAGAATGACTGGGAGCCACCATGTGGGTGCTAGGAACCAAACCCCAGTCCTCTGCAAGAGCACCAGGTGCTCTTAATGAGCCATCTCTCCAGTTCCCTGGTCCCATTTATTTTTAGTGTATTTTTAGCCCACTATAATTCTAGTACCCAGGACACTGAGGCAGGGGGGTTCAAAGTTCAAAGTCAGCTGTCTTAAAAAAAAGAAAAGAACAAAATATAAAATGTATTTTTAAAAGTTTTTCTGAGACATGGCTGTCCACCGTGCCTGGCCATAAAATGAATTTTTAAGAGATTCTGGAGCTGGGCAAGCCTTTAATCCCAGCACTCGGGAGGCAGACACAGGTGGATCTCTGTGAGTTTAAGGCCAGCCTGGTCTACACAGCAGGTTTCAGGACAGCCAGGACTATACACAAAAAGAACGTGTCTCAAGAAATAACAAAAGTCTGTTCTGCTAACAGAGCATATCCTAAACCTTGACCTTGGAATCAGAAAGGACGAGAATAAACGGGAGAGAACACAGCACAGGACACGATCCCAATCTACTCGCTTTATTGAAATGGCAAACAAGTTTACACACGAGGGAAAAACTCCAGTGGCAGAGTCACAGCATTCTGTGGTCAAGCCCACAGCAAGAGGGACACAAACCCCAGATTGTTCGGTGTTCTGGTAACTACAAGAGACCAGAGTGCTTACAGCCTGGTTCCTCTGAGCGTCCAGCTACCATGGAGACAGCAGGCTTGGGCAGGTTCCCCCTGAGGAGATTCCTGGGGGATAAGTGGTTCAAGTTCTTGAACTAAACAATGAGACACAGTTGAGAGCCACGAGGGAAGGACCCCACTTTTGGGATGGAGACAGTGTATTCTGAAATCAATGTGTCATCTTGACATGGGGGCGCTACAAGGAGCCAGGCCCCATCTTGAATTCATCAGAATACACACCCCAAACATTTCTGTGAGAATGCCATACACATAAGGTAACAATCTACAGCTGCATGCTCACACCTGCCTCCTACCCAGCACCGTTTACATCTGCTGCACTCCCCTTCCTGGGTAAAGCATCGGCACAGCAGCCGCCCCACCTTTAGCTTGGGCACCTTTGGCTGCTCTCCAGATGCCACGTGCACACTCCAACACACCGCTCGGGTGGCTCATGTTGTCCTTAGGTCTAGTGCCCACGTTGTGAGAGCCGCACTTGATTTCTACTATTGTAATACACTCATTCAAGCCTCCTACCTCACCAGTGAGCAGCAGCAGCCACTGCCCACTGAGCTCCACAGGCAGGGGCCCACGCCTGTCTCTGACCCACCTGCAGGCACTAGAAATGCTGCTCCAGGCTTGAACTACTAGGATTCGGGGATCTGCAGTCAGCAAGAGGGGAATGGTGCTTCTGCGGAGGATGGGACCCTAGGCCCCAGGGCTGAGACTGCAGAGGCATACCTGTGTAGTGTGGGCTCCACCAGGCTGATGGTGAGCTATGTTCTGGGAGACTTGGAGACTTTGCCCAGAAACCAGCTCTTTGGTTTAGTAAGACCAGCTGTGGCTCAGCAAACAGTGTAGTGTTGCTGAATTCTCTACTCTGTTACCGTCCTAACTTATGCAGGGGGGGGGGGGTTACCACCCCTTTGTCCTGAGTACTTGGCCACCGCTCCACTCCTCAGCTCCTCTACCTTGTCTCTGCTATGCTCAGTGGAATGGGGGTGTCTTTTCTCTTTTGGGGGACCTGCCACCAGCTCCCAAGTAAATCACACACGGCGGCTTATTCTTAGTTATAAAGGTCCAGCCTTAGCTTATCCCATCTACCTTTTGCCTCTGGGCTTTCCTGTTCTCTTACTTCTATAAATCTTACTCTTACTCCGAGGTTTGCTGTGTAGCTGGGTGGGTGGTTCCTGAAGTCTGCCTCCTTCTCTGGCTCCTTCTTTTTCCCATATTTCTCCTTCTCTTAATTCTTTCTGCCTTCCAGCCCCACCTGTCCTTTCTCCTGTTTCGCTATTGGCCGTTCAGTTCTTTATTAGACCATCAGGTGTTTTAGACAGGCACAGTAACACAGCTTCACAAAGGTAAACAAATGCAGCATAAACAAAAGTAACACACCTTAGAATAATATTCCCCAACAGAGTGTATTTGGCGTGTCCATAGGGACAGTAAGCAGACACGTGTGCAGAACCTGGCTAGGATCAACCACACACTTATTTGCAGGGTGGTCAGGTGCCCCATTCCTGATGTTTAGGACTGGGCGGCACCTCTGGCAGCTGGGGGAGAACTAGGAGAGCTGATTTTCTGCACCCGCCAGGCTTTGTGCCTCATCCTGCCCCCTGGTGGCAAAGAGATCTCTTCTTTGGTTGCTTGTTTTAATTTCATTTTTAACTTGTTTTGAAATAGGATCTCACTCAGCCCAGGCTGGGCCTGAACTTGCGATGTAGCGGAGGTTGGCCTTGAACTGATCCCCTTGCCTAACTTCCCTTGCTCTGTGGTCCAGGCTAGTCTTGAATTCCAGAGCTCAGCTGATCTGCCCACATTAGCTTGCCAATGGCTGCTGCACTGCTGGCACACCATACCCAGCTGGTGTTTTTATCAGATTTTTAAAAACATTATTTTTCAGACAAGCTCTGCTATGTTGCTTGGAAGACTAGGAACTCACTATGCAGACCAGGCTGGCCTTCAACTCAGAGATCTGCCTGCCTCTGCCTCCTGAGTGCTGGGGTTAAAGGCATGTGCCACCACGCCAGCTATTTTTTAAAGATTTATTTTTATAAATAAATTTATTTCATTCAAGTATTTTGCCTGCATGTGTACATGTGTCCCGTGTGTGTGCAGAGGTCAGAAGAGGATCTCCTGGAACTGGAGTGCATGAGCTACCAAGTGGATGCTGGGAACCAAACCCAGGTCCTCTGCAAGAGCAGCAAGTGCTCGTCACAGCTGAACCATCCCTCCAGTCTCATTTTATTTGTCTGGGATTGGTTTTCTCATTCTACCATGTTGGTTCTAGGGCTAGAACTCAAGTTATTTGTTGTGGTGGCACCTGTTCTTTCCTGCTAAGTCACTGGCCATTTCTTTTTTAAACAGGTTGGGACAGGAGCAGTTGTAGAGGGTGAGTGAGGTATTCCAGGGGCAACACAGGGAAAAGGCTTTCTGAAGATTTGAGAGTGCTTTTCAAACGGACACCACCCCTGGCTACAGCTTGGTGGCGAGCCTGAAGTCTCCTTGTGAGCCGTGTCCTGGGTGGTCTTTCTACAGGCGGCAGCATCACAGTTCCAGTGCATCAACAGAAGCCCCTATCAGTCAGGTGGACTTGGGACAAGATCTTGACAAGTCTCCTCTATTGATACAACTTTCCTTCAATACAGGGGCACATTAAGGCAAGCAGGTGAGTCTAGGGGGCAAGGGAGGAGCTCGCTGGTTAACCCCCAGTCCCACCAGAGCTATTCAGAAGAACCCACAGACCCCAAAAGCTGCCAATTCCATGCCAGGATTTCTTTCCTGCATGTACAAACCACCCTTGATGCATGTGGATCAGAAGTATGAGGACACTGGTCATGATGTCCCCTGTAGACAGAGCATTCCTTACTCAATCATGTGTGGGAACTGACCTATCAGAACCTGACCTATTCACAACTCAAGTTCTGAGACAAAAACACCAGGAACACCTTCCCCGAGGCCCAATCATGTTAGCTACTGTTCCCCCAAAATATATCACACTGAGAATATTGTATGATGTTTTGTTTGTGTTCTGACAAATAAACCTTGCCTGGAGATGAGAGGGCAGAGCTAGCTACTAGTTAACCAACCACAGAGGTCAGGCAGTGGTGGCACACACCTTTAATACCAGCACTTGGGAGGAGGAAACAGGAAGATCAGGAGTTCAAGGCCACCCTGGGCTATGAGATTGATCCAGTCTAAAAGAGAAACAGAGCCAGATGATGGTGGCACATGCCTTTAATCCCAGCACTAAGGAGGTGGAGACAGTATCTTGGCCCACCCATTCAGTCTGAGGATTCACAGAGGACCCCGACACACACACACACACACACACACACACACACACACACACACACACACACACACACCCATTAGGTCTGAGATTTCGTACAGGTAGTAAGTCTCTAGTGGCTGCTACTCTATTTCTTTCAGCTTTCGCCCTCGATATCTAACTCCAGGTTTTTATTGTTAAGACTAATTAAGATTATGAATTATGAGACTTCCCGACTCCCCTGTGCAGAATGATCCTAATATGCCACCAAGTGGTGAGCAAAGGCACAGGGCTCGGAGCTGGGTCACTGCCCTGCATGGCACTGTGAACTACAGTGAGATCCAGAAGACGGCACACACTCGGGCACTTCTCACACAGATCAAGGCCTCACCACACCGCTCTTGGCTCTGCTTGGATACACAGTTGAGCCTTACCAACAGCAGGGGACAGACTCAAAGAAAGGAGCCTGGGCCAGAGAAGGAAGATCCACAATCAAAGACAGAGGATAAGGTGGGAGCACAAGCCGGAAACTGAGGCAGGTGGCAACCAACAGCTTACAAAGGAACCACCTCAGCAGTCTATTTGCTCAGGGATGGGCACAGTGCCCCACAAGGGTCCCTAATCCTGCCAGGGAAAGCACAACTGCCTGTAATTGTCATGCAGACAGCACAGCTGGGCCAAAGCTAGACGGCAACATTAAAAGAGAACTCCACCAGGTGTGGTGGCGCACGCCTTTAGTCTCAACATTCAGGAGGCAGAGGCAGGTGGATCTCTGTGAATTCGAGGCCAGCCTGGTCTACAAAGCGAGTTCCAGGACAGCCAGGGCTGTTACACAGAGAAATCCTGTCTCGAGAAACAAAACAACAAACAACAACAAAAAACCAGAACCCCAAAGGTGAGCGTGCTTGGTGGTGCATGATTCTAGCACTTAGGAGGTTGAGGCAGGAGGATCCTGACTTCAAAGCCTGCATGACCATGCAGTCAGATACTGTCTCAACTGTCCCTACCCCAAATAGGCAAAACCTCAGACCTCACTAACAGCTGTCAGCGTCCAAGCATGGCATGGGAACGTATGAAATGATTCACAGGCAGAGAGCACACCTAAGCGTAGACGTGGAAAGGACAACCAGGGTGGAGAATGCACACGAGCACCATAGATTCAACGGGGAAGCCAACCCGACTCTCCCCAAAGAGAATGCGGACTAGGAGCCAGGATCCTGGACTTTATTATGCAGTTAATGCTCAAATGCTCTGAGATGAATGAAGGCCACAGAACTGTCACTCACCCGCAGCAGTCAAGCACTTCAGAACGTCACTATCTCCCACAGTCCCAACTGGTGCACCTCCCAGGTGCACACAGGGCCACCTTTCACTGAGGGCCTGTCACTGTCCACACAGGGGGCAGGTGCCAGCAAATTCGTTTTGGTTCTCTGAAGTTAGATCCAGTTGGTCTGTCTGTCCCCCTAGATAGGGTTTCTCTGTGTAGCCTGGGCAGTCCTAGAACTCACTCTGTAGAGAAGGCTGGCCTTGAACTTGAGCTCTGCCTGCCTCTGCCTCCCGAGTGCTGGCATTAAGGCCTGTGCCACCCACACCTGGCTTCCTTAGATCCAATCCTGGTTTTCTGTTTCCCACTCTTTTTAAACAAGTCTGGAGAGATGATTAAGATGTTACACAGGAAACCTCAGAGCTGTCCCAGCTCCCTCACTGCTCCAAGTGTCCCCCCAACAGGACACACACCAGTGGGACGCCCCAACACACACACCACAGCAAAGGAGCACAGGGAGACTCTAGCATGCCCAAAGGAAAGCTGTCCAAGATGTAAAATGGATTGCTTTTATTAAATAGGGAAAGGGCTTCCTTGGCACCATCTACACACCTTTGCTCTTTGCTAGAAGACATGACCGTGGAGAAAAAGCCACTGTACCAAATGCTATCAATTCCCATTCAGAGTGTCCTCATTCTCCAGTGTCACCCTCCCTGGTTCTGCAGATTCCGATGGGCTGCCCCTCCCCAGGCTTGGGCCTTGCCCATGGCTTCAAGCACATCCTTGCACAGACAACTGCCACATGTGGTCACCTGGAGGAGCTCCGTTCTTTGCTCACACAGTCATCCTGTGAGGTGGTGTCCCCGTTTCCCACCATGCTGCAGGTCCTCCTCTTCTTCCTGCGGTGTGATGTCCCATCACCTTCAGACCCAGACTCACACTGGACACAGGGAAAGACAAAGAAAAAAACCGTTTAGGGCTGGGGAGATGGCTCCATGGGTAAAGGTTCTTGATGCTAAGCTTCATGACACTGGGGCTCCCAAGAAAGGAGAGAAACAACTGCAAGTCATTTTCTGCCCTCCAAGTGTGTGCTACGGCAAGCGCTTGTAGGCACAGGCACGCCCTTAATAAATTAGTGCCATATCAGAAGCTGCAGGGCTGGAGAGACAGCTCAGTGGCCAGGAGCACTTCCTGCTCTTCTGAAGGACAAAATTCACTGTGAAGCTTGCACACAGAGGAGCAATGTTCTTTATAGAGAGACAGCTCAAACCAGAATGCTTACATAGAAAAGAACCAGCAGGGTGTGGGGATGCACACCTTTAACCCCAGCACTTGAGAGGCAGACGCAGGTGGATCTATAAAGTGAGATCCAGGACAGCCAGAGTTACACAGAGAAACTCTGTTTTGAAAAAAAACAACAAAAACAAGAATCCCACCTGGATAAAATCCCTCTTTTTTTGTCTTTTTTCTGAATTACTAGGCATTGAGCACAGGGCCTTCCTAGGCTAGGCAAGCATCAGTGATGGTGACAGTGACGGTGACATCCATCAATGTATAGCACCCTCTCACCTTGAACTAGTGTTAACTAAAGCAGGTCACTGGGTTTGCCTGTTTCTGGGCTTGGGTGTTACCATCCACAAGGAAAATTTCTAACAAGGGCCCTGACACTGCTGTGTGCTACGTATGATCACAAGGCCACCGTTTCACAAACTTCCAAACACCCAAGCACCTCTGCATGGATGTAGTTCCCTTGTGTGTGAGGCTGTAAAGGGTGTATGACAGCAAGTGCTGTACATGACCCTAGGGGCCTGGGCACTGGCGGGGGAGGAGGGGAGCTCACCTCTGAGTCTGTGTCGGAGGAGCTGGAGCTAGAGGAGCTGGAGGAGTCGCTGGAGCTGTCAGAAGCGATGCCTGTGGACTCTTGGAGGTCAACAGCGTCCGCCAGGACTGCCAGCTCAGGGTGCTCCTGCTTCAAGATCCTGAAGGGCAAGAGGTACGGTTCTCAGGGCTGTGACAGCTGGTGGTGACGGCCACTCAAAATGACAGACTCAAAGTGGAGGACTCCATTGCTTACAGCACCTGGAAACACCTAGTGCATCGGCTGGAGCGGCTGCAGACACAACCGGGCCGGACAGACCCCACGGCTGCCCACATTCGCTGAAGGAAAACTACATTCTAGTGCCACATACCCGAATGAGCACTAGTCACACACCTCTGGAGGCTGAGTTTCCTGGGGGAGGGGGAAGTCCTTAAGAGTTTTCCCTGGAGAGAAACAGCTCCTTTTTCTACTTTCCTCCCTAAGCCTTTTCTAGCTGATTTCTTTCCTTTTCTTTTCTTTCCTTTTTTTTTTTTTTTTTTTAAGCCTTTCCTTCCCACAGCAAGGTGCGAGTGAAGGGGGTGGGAGTTTGTTAGATTATACTAGAAAGAGCAGAAATAATTAGGTTTACAAGGAATAAGACGTCACACGAGAGAGACCACCCCCATCACTTGGAAGAGAGACTGAGCTGTCGCAAAGAGCAGCAGCCCTCCCCAGCAGCAACCTAATCTGGCGTCCACTGTGACGAGCGACAAAGGACCTGCATACGCTGAGGCCCGAGTCCAGGGGAATAGAAGCCACCACCCTTGCTGGCCTCTCAGCAGGGAGGCAGAGCATGGAGCAAGCCAGGATCCCTCTCTTACCCCGAGAGCTGGTCCCTCCAGGTCAGGGTTGGGACACAGTGGCACGGGGTGGCTGGGGGTGGCTTGAACTGCCGCTGCCCGTGCTGTATCTGTTCTGTGGATAAACAGAGGAGCTAAGTCTCCAGGGCAGTTGCCTCACAAGAACTGAAGGTATAAGTTCAAATGAATAATGTTTCTGGGGAAAATAAAGAAAACCTTAACAAAGGGGTTTTTGGTTTTTTTTTTTTTGCTAGTGCTAGTTTTTATTTTTTTAAAAAATAACAAACCAAAACAACAACAACAAAAAAAGAATACGAAAAAGGGAGCAAACAGAGTGAAAACAAAATGCGAGACATCCCAATTGTGACTCTATTTTGACTGTGACTTTGATGGAACATGCAGAGCCACACCCTGCCACCTGGAGGCTAGCAGACACCCTGACAACTAGCCCTGACCTTGGGCCTTCTCTACCCACAGGTTTACAGACCCAGCTGTTCCCAAGCACAGTGTTGCAGCAGACAACTCTTCCCTGTTCATGTCTGGGGAAGGAACCGGAACAGAGCAAGAGGGAGAAGGAGGTTCTCACCTGTACCACTTCCGGGACAACTTTGGCCTCCCTCTTACCGTCTTGTGCCACACAACAGGGAAGTTGGTGCTGCTGGCAAAGTTCTGGGTGATGGCGATGGTCGTGTCAAGATTGAGGACAACATGCCACCAGCCCCCTGAAATCCAACAAATAACCATTCAGTAAAGATCAGCCCTGCCGCTCCTGATCGCGACTGCAGACCACCTGCTGTCTAACTCCGCACAGCCGTACCCTTATTTTTTTCTACTGTTCATGGCTGTTTTCCTGCTAAAAGGCAAAGTTCAGCGATGGTGACAGAGACTGTCTGCCTCAACTGTATTGACTCCTGGTAACCCAATGTGACTAATATTGTAAACGCGAAAGTTTTAGGAGGAGAACCCCTAGCTTTTAAATAGTCTCACTTCTAGAAACTTCATCCAGCAGCTGTCTGGCTGGGATTTTCCAAATCAATCCAGCCAGCTCTGCACTCTAGCAAGAGCCACAGAAAGCAGGCAGAACCTGGAACACTACTCAGAGACACCAGGTAGCAGGATACAGGCGTGTGGAGGTGGAGACGCACTCTCTCTGGACTTGTTTCATTCTATAATTCTACTCCAAAACAACCAATCAGTGCAATTACAGAATTCAGTCGGAGCTGGGAAGAACCGTTTCTTCTAGCTCATCTATACCTGGTACAAAGACGGTCTCTCCTGGTTTCTGTAATATCTCCAGGGGTTTGAACTCAGGAGGCCAGGTCGGAAGCTGTGTCCGAGGATAAATGATGTTAAACCAGGTAATGGCCTCATCTTGCTGGTTCCCTCCTTCTTCTCGGGTCACCTTGATGAGCTCTCGGGGGGTGCTGGTCGGGAACAGGCACCAACGCTTGTGGCCCTGAACTAAGGCATTCCAGGCACTGGTTCCCAGAGGGTCAATGTGAATCCCCGTTCCAGAACGTGGTGGCCCCATCACAAACCACCTACAGGAGGTAGACATGAAGACATGAAGGGTCATCTGAAATGTACAGTCTCTATAATATCCTCACGCATTATGCTTATTTACTTCAGAGACTGTACAAGTTGTGGTACACAATAGTAAGTAAATGGTGTATGGACTGATGTCTTAATAGAAAAAAAGAAAAATCACTGATGAAAATTATTGCTGGACTTTTTAAAAAAGACAGGCTATCTATTATCTGCCTGTGGTGGTCCAAGCTTTAATCCCAGTACTCTGGAGGCAAGAGGCAGGTGGATCTGTCAATTCAAGGCCACCCAGGGCTACACAGTGAGACCGTCTCAAAAAACAAACAAACAAACAAACAACAACAAAAAAACCCCAAACCTAGCTGGACCTAGTGTCTTTAATAGCAGCACTCAGGAGGCAGAGGCAGGTGGATCTCTGTGAGTTGCAGGCCAGCCTGGTCTACAGAGCGAGTTCCAGGACAATCAGAGCTACATAGTGAGACCATGTCTCAAAGAAAACAAACAAACAAACAATCTCCAGGACCCACATAATGGAGAGAACAGACTGTCACAAGTTGTCCTCTGAACTCTACATGTGCTGTGGCACACGTGCCCCTCTAATAAATAAATAAAGCATAGGTGGATGTAGTGTTGAACATCTTTAATCCCAGCACTTGGAAGGCAGAGGCGGAGGCAGGATCTCTTTGAGTTTGAGGTTAGCCTGTTCTACATATGAGTCACAGTATAGCCAGGGCTATACAATGAGACCCTGTCTCAAAACAAAACAAAACAAACCCAAAAAACCAAAACACAGTGCATAGTGGCTCACAACTATCCATCAATCCAGCTCCAGAGGATCTGAGGCCCTTTTCTGACCTCCTCAGGCACTAGGCATGCACTGGTACACATACTTGCATGCAGGGGACGAAAAACCAAGCTAGATGCCTCGAGAATTTGAGGAATCCAGCCAGACGTCTGCGTGGACCCCAGACCAATGAAATCAATCTTCCCAAGTAGGACCATAAACGAGTCATTGTGCAGGGAAGATCCACTCACGGCTTTCACAAGGTTAGACTGAGCTCTGCTAACCACACTAAGGTTTTTGAACACTTGATGCGGAATAATTCACCTGTAAGGGGGCCTGCGCTTCTCCCCTGCATACTGGAAAAGGTCATCCGTGAAAAACTTGGGCACCTTGTAGTCTTCTAAAAGTTTCCTTCTTTTGGGGTGTTCACCATAGCTGCTGTCAAAGATGTAAAGGGGACTGTCATCACGGGTGCTCTCCATGTACTCGATGTAGTATTTCATCTTCATCTTCACCGAGTAGCCGTCATTATCCTCGCCACACTTGAACTTCTGGTTCCGGTATTTCCTTTTGAGGCGCTCCAGAGTCCATTTCTCCTGCGCGGACCAGCCCTCCTGGGCATTCAGCAGAACCACGGGCTTGTAAGGCCTTTCGTACCGCTCTACAAATTCTTCCACCGACAGCTGTAAAGCATCAGCCCTCTCCACGTTATCCTAGGGGAACAACAAAAGACCTGCCCCGTTAAAAACACAGGAAGAAGTCCGGTGGCGGATAAAGGTGTCCCACGGGGCCAATTAGCAACGACACACATTAGCAATGACATACAGTAGCAATGACCGAGCCTCAGGCTCCTCCAAGGGGAGGGATGCCCACGTGCGTGAGAGTGAGCACGTCGCACTCAGAGCCACCCCTTCAAGGGAGGGAGGGGCTCGAAGCTCCCCCTAATGAGCGAGCTTTGACAGCCCGGCTGCGGGGCCCCATCGCCCCAAAGGGTCCGGGGACAGGCGGCCTTCGGGTAGCGGGCCCCGAAGGTGGACCGCCGCTGAATGGGAGGCCCCGCCCGCAGCCAGGCACCGGGCGCCCCGCGCCCCGCTCACCGGCACGGCCGCCGGGCTCAGCGGGAAGCTCTCGTAGTAGTTGTGCCGGGTCCAGTCGAGCGAGTCCTTGAGCTCGGGCCGCGCACTCCGCTTGGCCTCGCGGATGCGCTTCTTGCTCTTGTGGTTCATCCTGAGCAGGTCACCGTCTGGTTCCGCCACGACCTCGACGCAGCTCGCTTCCTGCCACCAAATGCGCCCTCTCTGGCTGGCGCGGCACCGAAACGCCCTTCACTCCGGCAAGGCGCCTTTAAAGTCGCCTTCCAGAAAATTCACTCCCCAGCCACCTCCGGAGCTTCGGGTTGGGCGAGCAGCGGCCGTCCTCCCCGCCCCACCGCCTCTTGCGGACCGCCATTGGCCTCAGCGATTTGCGAGATCCGCCTTCACGCGCGCCGATTGGGCGCCATGTTGGGAAGGTCGCCTTGCTGACGCCCTGCCCCTCCCGGCTGCGGCCTGCGCACCACTTCCGGCTGCGCGTCGCTTCCTAGCGGCCGCTTCCGGCTAGGCTCGCTGCTGCCGCTGCTTTCTGTTTGGAGAGCGTCCAGCAGGCTCGGCTCGGCTCGCGGCCACGTGGCACAGCCCCACCGGCCTGGCGTCGCTGCGCGCGTATCGCCCTCCACCGCCCCCTGACCTGGGGTCCCCCGACTCCCCTCCGTGCGAGCGCAGCCTCATGGCCGGGGCCCAGCGCTTTCGGTTCCGGGAGGAGCCAGGCCCTGGAGCCGACGGGGCCGTGCTGGAGGTCCGCGTCCCGCAGGTGCGTGCAGTGGCACCCACGTGGAAGCGCTCCCTGGTTAGAGTGTAGGGAATGGGGATCCCTCAGCTCTCCGCGTCGTTCATTAGCAGCAGGTTTGCTATGAATCCCGGTGAGGGATTAAACGTGCTCCAGAGACAGACATTAAGGACCGTGCCAGGAAAGAGACACCGAATATTTCTTCCAGGAAAGTGGCTTTCTTGGCCTGTGATGTTAGCTTTGAACTTTTTTGAAAAGCATTTATTAATATATGTTAACAACACACACACACGCCGCTTCTGAGTACTCTTGATTGAACCCAGCCTCTGTTAGGCAAGTGCTCCACCACTGAGCGATATTCTTAACATCCTTTTTGTTTTACTTTTGACAACAGGCAGGCTTTGAAATTGAACTCCTGTTCCTCTTCCTAGAATCGCAGGTGTGCGCCACGCCACCATGCTGTTTTGTGAGGTTCTGGGTATCAAACCCAAGACCTCATACATGCTAGGCAAAATTCTCACTTGGTGTAAGATTTGAGACCAGGGATTTCTGTCTCTAACACCCCAATAAAGTTTTCTGCATCGGCCCTGGCTTGTTCCTCTGAGCTTCTAGCTACCCTAATGCTGAATGATAAGTATCCCCTGATAGTCGTGTGTTACAAAGGGTTTTCAGGTTGCAATGTTAGCAGCTGGCCCAGCAGGTGTTCCTGGCAGCAGCAGTGGAAGCAGAAGGTGCAACCCTATGCTGCCACCTGTAGCAGCCTGCATTCTTTGCAGAGACTTCTGCCCCAATGAAGCAAGGAGTCTTTTGTTTTTGGTTTTTTGAAACAGGGTTTCTCTGTGTAGCCCTGGCTGTCCTGGAACTCACTGTAGAACAGGCTGACCTGCCTCTGCGACTAAAGGCGGGATAAAGGCTGCAGGCCGCCGCCTCCACCACCCAGCAAAGCAGAGATTCGTCACTATACTGCAGAAAAACATTTCAGGGCAAATCAGTGTGGAGCAGAGTGGGAGGATATTAACATTATAACCTGGCTTTAAGTTTGGGGGTTAATAAACATTTAGGAAAAGGCATGGGTACAGGCTTTGCAAGTGCAGAAAACTGCACTTAACTGTCTTAATAGCCATATGCACAATTTTGGTAGCTTCTGTAGGTAAATTTAAGGGATTTCTGAGAAAGTTTTAGTAAACAAGATCACATGGTGGGGGGTGGAAAGATGGCTCAGCTGTTAAGAGCACTGGCTGCTCTTCCAGAGGTCCTGAGTTCAATTCCCAGCACCCACATGGTGGCTCCCAACTGTCTACAGTAGGATCTGATGCTCTCTTCTGGCATAAAGGTGTACATGCAGATAGAGCACTCATACATAAATAAATCTTTTTTAAAAGTCCCAGGATGAGATTAGTAAAGTGCATTGGACAGGAGGGATTACAGTGATGTCAAACTATATGCTACAAGGGTCAAAGGAATCTTTAATTATACTAGGTCCCAAGGGTGTTGACATGTTTATAATCTTGCTTGTGAGATTCTCAGAAAGTTGCAGGTTACAGCTGGAAAAGCTGTGAGGTTACATTCAAAGGTCAGACATATTTTGGTCACAAGGAGTTTCTCTCTTTAGTTTTTAATTTTTTTTAGATAGTCTAATTCTGGAACTGACCAGGCTGGTCTTTAACTCAGAGATCCACCTGTCTCTGATTCCTGAGTTGGGATTAAAGGTGTGCATCACCATCCCCTCCTGGTTCTTTGATAGTTTAACATTTGGGTTTGAAATATATCTATAAAGAGCACTGTTCCTCTGTAGACAAACTTCACAGTGAATTTGGTTAGTTGTACTGAAATTTGACTCTTACCTGGTGAGAGACTTCAAACTCTGGGATGAGATCTTTACTTTCCCATGTCCTCATGATTTTTCCCTGTCTGTCCTGCCTTAGTAGTTCAGTGTTAAAAAGACACAGCATAAGTGACAAGGCAAAACAGAACTTTTTTCCTGTAGCCTCCAAGTGACTTCATGTTAAAAACTCGTATTGAGTCCGGGTATTACGCTAAGCCACTGTTACTTTATTTTTTGAGACATGATGTAGCTGTGGCTGGCCTGGAACTATCAGAGATCTGCCTACTTTTGCCTTTCATGTGGATTAAAGCCATGTACCATACCCTGCTTCATTTTTTTTTTTTTTAAAGATTTATCTTTTGCTGGGCATAATAGCCCATGCCCTTAGTCTCTCTCCTTTAATCCCAGCATTCAAGAGGCAGAGGCAAGAGGGTCACTGGGAGTTCGAAGCCAGCAGAGTCTGCAGAGCCAGTTCCAGGCCATCCAGGGCTACATCTCAAAAAACAAGCAGAAAGCACTTTGAACTGCTGAATTATCCTTCTAGCCTATTTTTTCCCTGTAACTTCATTTAAGTTATGTATATATGTGTGGTGGTATTTTACTTGTACTGAAATGTGATTTTAATTGTATGTTAATAAATAAAGTTGCCTGGGGTCAGAGCTATTAGAGCCATAGCAAGTGCGTGGCGGCGGTGACGCACGCCTTTAAGGACCTGGAGGGCGGTACATACAGGCCGTGACGAGGCAGTCACATGTTTGGGTTTACAACCAATGAGAAGGCAGAACAGAAAGACTATAAAGACAGACACACAGGAAGTAGGTCTTTTTTTTCCGGAGAGCTCTCTTGACTGAAGAGGATCCCTGAATCAGGAAGGGTGAGGCTCTTAGCTCTGACCTCTTGGCTTTCTTCTCTGAATTGGCTCTGTGTTTCTTATTTAATAAGACCGTTGGTTACATCTACATATATGTATATGCATATACATGTTTTTTTTTAATTTTTTTATGTGCATTGGTGTTTTGTCTGCATGTATGTCTGTGTGAGAGTGTCAGATCTTGGAGTTAGACAGTTGTTAGTGGTTGCTGGGAATTGAACTCAGGTCCTCTGGAAGAGCAGTCAGTGCTCTTAACCACTGAGCCATCTCTCCAGCTCACATGTATGTATTTTTAAGTAAACAAGAGTCCTCAGAGGCCAAAATGGTGTTAGATCCTGCAAACTAAAGATACAGACGTTTGCTAGCTGCCTTATAGATGCTGGAAAAAGCATTTCTGGAAAAGCAATCTTTCCAACCCCTATTTATTATTTTCAATTAGGATCTTGATATTTAGGCCTGACTGGCCTTCAGTTCGGGGCCCTCCAGTCCAGTGCTGGAGTGAACAGTGTCCCACCACAGCCATCCAAGCACTATTCTTGAGTGGACAGAGTAAGTTTGGACCTCAGATTCCTTTACAGCCTGATAATTTTTGTCTCTGTTTGTCACCCTATCAAAGGTGTCCTTGTCTCCACAAGACAGGCCAGCAGATGCTATGTAGATCAGGTTGGCCTTGAACTTATAATGTTCTTTCTTCCTCCTGTGTGATAGGATTACAAGTGGGAACCACATCCTAGATGATTCTAGTTCTTTCCAAAGGCTTTCTTTTGCCCTTCAGAATTTAGCTCCACGTATGCCTCCTTTTGTAGGACTGCAGGACTTGTCATTAGCATCTCCCCCAAAATAGGGAGAGATAGGGACACAGCTTAGTTAGAGTACTCGTCTAATATAAATGAAGGTCTGGGTCTGATTCCCAGCACCTCAGAAAACAGTGTGCTGGCACACACCTATAGTGCTAGCATTTGGCAGGTAGAGGCTGGAAGAAGCTCACGTCATCCTAGGCTGTATGAGTAGAAGACCAGTTTGAACTACATTAGACACTGCCTATAAAAAAACAAAAATAGAGCTGAAGAGATGGCGTAGGTAAGGACACTTGCCTCCAAACTGGACAAGCTGACCTGAATTCCATCCCTAGATCCCACATGATGGAAGGAGACAACTGACTCTTACAAGTTGTCCTCTGACCTCCACATGTGCACCCTTCCCCTCTTCCTCCAACAAAGGTGTAAAGTTGTTTTGTTTTTTAATTTAAAGAAACCTTCCAACATCTTCTTGTACTTAGAATTCTAAATTCCTGCAGCCAGTAAGACGCACAGGTTAATAAACCTCTACTCAAGCTGTGCCTGTGGTTAGACCAGAGGCACTTGCTTGGGCAACCTTAACTGTCTCCATGTGTTATATATACCCTTGCTTTATCCTGCTTTACTGTTGTAGCATTTATTATCAACCAAAACGACCTGCTTTTTGCCCATCATTGTCCAGTATGTAGCATGCACAGTATACATCTAGTCCAAAAAGTTGTAACTGTCCTGGATCCTCAGTTTAAATGCTTGTGGAGAGGCTGGAGATGACTCAGTGGTTAAGAGCACTTGCTGCTCTTACACAGGACCTGGTTTTAGTTTCCAGCACACACATGGCAGCTCAACCATGTTTAACTCTAGTTCCAGGGGATCCAACACTCTTCTGGTTTCAGAGGCACCAGGCATGCAAGTACATATACATACATGCACATAAAACACTCATACATGCCGGGCGGTGGTGGCGCACACCTTTAATCCCAGTACTCGGGAGGCAGAGGCAGGCGGATCTTTGTGAGTTTGAGGTCAGCCT